CTATCCCTTCCACCTCCGTGGAAGGGCAGTTCCCCCTGGCCACATTCCCCACTTCCGCAGGGGAGCGGCACACCGCCGGCCGGCTTTCTCGGGGGCTGCACGGGTTCCCTTAGATGTTCCCCATAGATGTTCCTCGTGCATGCCGTCTCTCTCCTCCTTTATAGTCCTCCTCCGCCAATCCCAACTCGGCTGCCCACACGCCGAGTACGCTGCTCTCCAATCAGGAGCAAGTCCTACAGTTTATTAGCTGAACTGGAGGCAGCTGTGTGGAAGCTGTTTACTTCTCTCCCAGCGCCATATTGTGGGAGAGCAGATGCATAGAATAAGTCTTAATTTCAGTAACTTAGTCCAGTCCGGATTGCTCCCCACACACAGCCAGAATACACTCCCCTGCCTGCCTTGCAATGTGTGTGTGACCAGGAGGAAGTGACTAGGAGGGCTCCGCATCACTCCCAGGCCAAGCCCATCAAAGCCTCTGACCCCATGGACCTGCTCAGTGCTAAAGCCCAAGACCACCTAGGAGCCACCAGCAGAAGGCAGGGCCTTGGGCAGCCTAAGGCCTTAAATAAAGGCCCCCACCTCAGCCAACTGGATTTAAAATACACTCACAGAGTATATATATATGGTGTATACATAGTTGCAGTATATATATGTGTGTATATATACACATAGTATATACAGAGTGAGCATATATGTATACACACACACTGTATATAGTCACAGCATATATAGATGTGTCTATACACACAGTATAGAGTATATATGTATGTACACACACAGTATATATATAGTCAGAGTACAGAGTGAGCATATATGTATGTATACACACACACTGTATATAGTCACAGCATATATAGATGTGTCTATACACACAGTACAGAGTATATATGTATGTACACACACACACAGTATATATATAGTCAGAGTACAGAGTGAGTGGGGGACAGAGATCTTCCATCTGCTGGTTCACTCCCCAGATGGCCACAGTGGCCAGCGCTGGTCCAAGCTGAAACCAGGAGCCTGGAACTCCATCTGAGTCTCCTTTGTGGATGGCAGACTCAAGCACGTGGGCCATCTTCTGCTGCCTCTGCAGGTGCATTAGCAGGGAGCTGGATTGGAAGTGGAGCAGTGTGCTCACGTGGGATGCCAGTGTTGCAGGTAGCCGTCTAACCCACAATACCAGCCTCAGCTAACTGAATCTGACTTGAGCAAAAATTAAACCACTATTCTATTGTTATTAAGCCATTGAGATTTTAGGGTTTATTATGTTACACCTACTAGCCATCACTAATGCAGATTTTCAAACTCACGGGATATAAAGGAACTTACTTGGGTTTGGGGAGTTCTAAGGTTTATATTCTAGTTATTACTACAGTTTCTCCTCTCACTTTAGGAAGAGATCAGATAAAAGAACTTTAATGAATTTCAGCTTAAAATCAGCTTTTTGTTGTTGTTGTTCTGGTTAAATATTTATTTATTTGAAAGAGTTAGAGAGACAGAGATCTTCTATCTGCTGGTTTACTCCCCAGATGGCCGCAGTGGCTGTGGCTGTGGCTGGGCCAGGCCAAAGCCAGGAGCCAGGAGGTCTCCCGTGTCGTTAGCAGGTGCCCAAGCACTTGGGCCATCTTCCACTGCTTTCCCCAGGACATTAGCAGTGAGCTAGATCAGAAGTGGAGCAGCCAGGACACAAACCTTCACCGTATAGGTGGCAGCTTTACTGGCTGTGCCACAATGCCAAAAAGCCAGCTAACTCTTCACTGCTGTCCCTGTACTGGGTGAGGTGATGTCCCCAGAAGCCTACCAAAACCCAGACCTTTTCCCAGGGCAGGGTACGCAAGCACTCTGAGAACTCTGTGAAAACACTTTTGGAAATTGAAGAAAACTGTGACATAGAATTGTAATATTTTCATATGGAATGCAACATTTTGATATGGAACTGTAATGTTTTGGTGTGGAATTATAATATTTTGATGTTGAACTTTACCTTTTAAAGAATTATTTTGAGTTACAGAAAGAAGTAGAGCCAGAGAGAGAAAGAGGTCTTCCATTCCGCTGGTTCACTCCCCAAATGACTGAAATAGCCAGAGCTGAGTTGATCCAAAGCCAGGAGCTTCATCTGGGTCTCCCATGTGGGTGCAGGGGCCCAAGGACTTGGGCCATCTTCTACTGCTTTCCCAGGCCATAGCAGAGAGCTGGACAGGAAGAGGAGGAGCCAAGACGCGAGCTGGTGCCCATATGGGATGGCGGCACTGCAGGCAGCAGCTTTACCCGCTACGCCACAGCGCCAGCCCCGACACACACATTTCAGAGTAGCCACACGTCCCTCAGCCCTTCCCTTACCACCTGTCTGGCCCGAGCTGGGATGGAGGGGGCCTTGTAGTCCCCAAACAAAACACAGGGACCTAATGACTGAGAGAATTACACAGCCGTATTTTTATTAGTGTCTACCAAGAAAACAATCAGAATTCCCTCCTGCTCCAACACCATCTCTCCACTGGGACCCTCAGGGAGCAGCTGCTGCCAGAGCCGTCCTTGGAGCTGGGCGCCTGTGCATGGCCACCTCTCGTGTGGGCGCCACCACGCGCCCCTTCCTCACAGCGTGGGGGTGAAAGGGCACCGCCGTTTCCTCTGCCCTCAGCGGTCAGCCTTGGGGACTTGGAAGAGGCCGGCGATGTCCAGAAGGGCTTGGCGGATGTGGTTCCCGAAGCGCTGGGCGTTCTGTAGAAGCAGCGAGCTCAGATGTGCCTTCAGGTGAGCCCCAGCCCTCTGTCCCCGCAAGCAGACAGGCAGTGTGCGCCCGGGCCGCTGCCGGTGGGAGGACGACAGACTTACGGTCTCCGAGCTTGAGAACTTGCTGGAGACGTGGAAGAAGATCGTGTTCTCGCCTGCGATCATGTAGGAGACTCCATAGCCATCATCTGCTACCTGAGGGCGACGGGGGTGGGCGTGGGGGTGACAAGAGCTGAGTCAAGCCTTGGAGAGCGGAAAGCCAAGCTGATGTCACACTTGCTCCTCCCCCAGGACTTGCGGGAAAGGCCCCGAGCTCCAGACACTGCACTTTTCCTGAGGTCAGCACCACTCCCAGGAAACAGTGTGAAAACCAAAGAATGTGGCCCATGCACTTCTGGGCCCTACTCCAGGATCTAGGACCTCCTGTCTCCCTCACACTCTAGGTCGCTCCCCCCACCCCCAAACTAGCTCACCTACAGTGGAACAAGCTGGATCCCTGAGCAAAGGCGCTGCCCCAGACCTGGAAACAGGCCCGAGCATGGCCACGCCCCACAGGGAGGAGTTTGGGAGGGTGTGTCCCAGGTCCCAGGTCCCGCCTGTCTGCCTGCGCTGATGGCGTCCATTCTGCTTCCATGCAGACCTGGCCTGTGCTGGCCTCTGAGGTGCTCCTGCCCTGGTGTGACCTGGTCAGTGCCCTGTACTCTCCACTGAGGCCCCTGCCATGCCGCCCCCCACCCCCCTTTCGGGGCACTCACAGGGCCAAAGCCACCTCCAGCGCCCAGGTGATTGGGGTACTGGTCTGGGTCGAACATGCGGATCTGGGATTGAGGGATCTGGCTGGTGGAGAGGCGCCAGGGTTCGGAGAGCACCTGCAGCGGGGCAGCCGTGGCCGGTTAGATGCTGCCCATCGGCACACACCTGTCCAGCAGCAGCACCCGAGGCCTATTCAAGCCTGCAGTGTCCTGCTGAGGACGCAGGTGTGAACGTGAGGGCAGGCCCCAGGTCCTCCACAGCCTGTTCCCACCGCAGCCTTGGGGAAGAACCCTCTCTTGCCATAGGAGGCTTGCGTGACCTGCTGGTCCCTCTCTCGGCTCTGTGCCCCCCGCCCTCGTCAGCCTCTCTCCTTTCCGCCCCGGCGCTTGTCTCCACCTCACACGTCACACACGAGACCAAGTCCACACTGCGCTCAGTCCCAGCACCGCAGGCTCAGGCGGGGTGCAGGGCAGGAGAGCCGGCTCCAGCCCCCAGGCAACTTCCCAGGAGCTAGCTACAAGACACAGTCCGAGCCCCGGCACAGGGAGGCACCCCGATGCACCCGTCTCACGGACCTCAGCCAGGAACGGGGAGCTGACCCCCAGGTACTTAGAAACCAGGTAGAGGCAGAAGAGGTGCCTGTCGATCCCAGCCCCCGTCATGGCCAGGCGGTACATGTTCTGGTGCTTTTGCGCAGCTTTCCGGAAGAGATCCTGGAGGTCGGCTTTCTGGAGGCAGGAGAGGAGGGCAAGAGTGGCCTCGGCCCTGAGGCTGACGAGGGGCACCTCGCCCCGACGGGAGAAAGGGGGCTCACCATGTGCGACCCCTCCATCATGGCCTGCACAAAGGCTGTGGACTCGCTGGTACAGGAACGCACGGTCTCAGTCCGTCCCTCCCGGAACATCCTGGTCATCGAGGCCTCGTAGGTCAGGCAGAACTTGCCCTTGTCCTGGGGTACACAGAGGGGTGAATCTGGTAGGCGCCCTCACGCCACCCTGCCCGCTCGCCGCCTGGGGGAGCTCTTACGCGGAAGTGAGCCAGCTGCAGGGCTATCTGCACGAAGGCGTCCGGGCTGGTCCGACACTTCTTGATGAGGCCCTTCCCGAAGGGCAGGAACTGGAAGCAGCACAGCTCCACATCGTCCGCCAGAGCCCTGGCCACCTGGTACGAGCGCTCGATGACTGCCTGACACTGCCAAGACACGGTGGGTAGAGCCCTCCAGGTGCAACCCTGGGTCACGGCCAGGAGGCAGGGGGTCGTGCTGACGGATGAGGGCCAAAGGGGCCCACGTCTTCAGGAGGAGGGACAGGATGGACAACTCAGGGGTACCGGCCACCGGAGGCCAGGCTGAGCTTGGTGGGAGGAGGGTGGCACCAACAGCTGCCCCACAGATGTGAACTTCACATCTCACACCTTTCTCTAACCACAGATGGCTCACGGTTCTGCTCTCCTGTGGCCAGCCTGGAGCTACACAGGATCCTGTCCCTTCCTGCTGAGGGCTGGGCCGGGTGGTGGGAGGGGCGGGGGAGGCAGAGTGACTCAGATGATTGTCACTCTCCCACCCACCCCGCACCTGCTCGGGAATGTCCCACTGCAGCCGCTGAGGAGGCGCCAGCGTGGAGTTCGGTTTGCCTAGGCAGTGCCCAGTCTCTGTATAGCCCAGGTGGAAGGTGTCAGTGCCCACGACAAACTGCAGGGAGAAGTCAAGCTGAGAACCTGGGCTCCCCCCACCAAGCCTGCCCTGCAGGTGCCCCTCCCAGCCCTGGTACCTCCCAGAGGTGCCCGATGATGGGGGCGTCAGCCCACGCGTGTTCCGTGTTGAGACCCAGCTGGCCATTCTTGAAGGAAATGAGAGTGAAAGACTTGTCGAACCACCTGTGGGAGGAGTGGGCCCAGGGATGACTCAGTCCTGCAGCTTCCCACAGCAGCCTAACCGCGACACTAAACTCGCTATTTCTAGCCCCGGACCCTCACCCTGACCTGAAGCCTATCCCTAGCACGAGCCCGACCCTAACCTGTGCCTCATCCTGACCAGAACCTCAAGCAGACCCCTGGCCCGTGGGCTGTGGCACGCACCTGTTGTAGCAGTTGCCATGCAGCAAGGCCTTGCCGTAGAGGCTGAGGCTGGCCTCGTCCTCGGGGTTGTAGCAGTGGGCCTCCTCATCCAGGGCCACGAAGAAGGCAGCACGCTCAATGGCGTCCAGAGAGGCCTTGTTCTTGCCCGAGCTGAAATAGGCCTGGCGTGCCTGCGCCCACTCCACCCTGCAGACCAGAGGGCAGGTGAACAGCGGGGCGCCGTGGGCCCTGGGTGAGGGCACCTCCCGAGACCTGGCTGGGCCTGAAAGCAGGGTCTGGTGGGGGCAGCGGATCACGCCCTCTGCGTGCTCGCACCTGGTCGCCAGCCCCTTGAGATGGGATCCACCCGCTGTGCCAGTGCTGGTACCCCCAGTGCTGCTCCCTTGGCTGTGCCTTTGGTCCCTTGGCCTGGGGTCGCAGGAAGGGCCAAGCACCTCCCTGATGGCCCCGCCCCCCGTACCTTCCACCCGCGGTGAGGGCTGCCAGCTTCTCCTCCCCAGGCTGGGGCGGGGAGGGGTCATCCAGGATCCTCTGGAACTGCATCTCCAGTTCCCGGGGCTTGAGCAGGCGCGAGCCCTCATACAGCCACACCTTGTAGAAGCGGCCCTTGTGGTAGACAGCCACGTGCCTGCTGTCCGCGAGGTGCTGCAGCACATCTGAGACAGAGACCAGGTGCAGGCTGAGGCTCGGCCACAGGGAGCCCTTCACTGGACAGCTGATCCTGCCCAGCCCAGCCGCTGCCCGGGCCCTCCTTCCCTTGGGGGCGGGGCCACACAGCTGAGACAGGCCCCACGCTGGGGCTTCCACCACCACTGCTGCGACACCCACAACAGTCCCGGGAGGCAGCTCAAGAAGAGGCCATCGCCGGCGCCGCGGCTCACTTGGCTAATCCTCCACCTGCGGCACCAGCAGCCCGGGTTCTAGTCCCGGTTGGGGTGCTGGATTCTGTCCTGGTTGCCCCTCTTCCAGTCCAGCTCTCTGCTGTGGCCCGGGAGTGCAGTGGAGGATGGCCCAGGTCCTTGGGCCCTGCACCCGCCTGGGAGACCAGGAGGAAGCACCTGGCTCCAGGATTCGGATCGGCACAGCGCGCCAGCCGTAGCAGCCATTTGGGGGGGTGAACCAACGGAAAAGGAAGACCTGTCTCTCTGTCTCTCTCTCTAACTCTGTCAAAAAAAAAAAAAAAAAAAATGGCCGGCGCCGTGGCTCAATAGGCTAATCCTCCACCTTGCGGCGCCGGCACACCGGGTTCTAGTCCCGGTCGGGGCGCCGGATTCTGTCCCGGTTGCCCCTCTTCCAGGCCAGCTCTCTGCTATGGCCAGGGAGTGCAGTGGAGGATGGCCCAGGTGCTTGGGCCCTGCACCCCATGGGAGACCAGGAAAAGCACCTGGATCCTGGCTCCTGCCATCGGATCAGCGCGGTGCGCCGGCTGCAGCGGCGGCCATTGGAGGGTGAACCAACGGCAAAGGAAGACCTTTCTCTCTCTGTCTCTCTCTCTCACTGTCCACTCTGCCTGTCAAAAAAAAAAAAAAAAAAAAAAAAAAAAAAAAAAAAAAAAAAAGAAAGAAAGAAAGAAAGAAAGAAAGGAGAGGCCATCGTGGCCCCTGGAAAAGGGTCAGCATCGCGGTGCAGTGGGTTAGGCTGCTGCCCACGGTGCTGGCATCTCACGAGTGCTGGGCTTCCTGGGAAGGCAGAGGATGATGGCACTGGTGCTTGGGCCCCATCCCCCATGTGGGAGACGTGGATGGAGTTCCAGGCTCCTGGCTTTGGCCTGGCCCAGCCCTGGCCGTTGCAGTCATTTGGGGAGTAAACCAGATGGAAGATATTTCTGTTTCTCCCTATTCTAAATGAATAAAAAAAAATCTTAAAAAAAAAATGCGCTAGGAAAGTATGCAACTGCCGAGGATGCAGCGTCAGAACCGGGGAGGGCCTGAGCGCACGCCCGCAGCAGCACCTGCGCCGCCACTCTTGGCTCAGATGATGGCCTGCCTGGCACGGTGAGCCTGCAGTGAGAGGCTCTGTCCTGGCCCCCAGGGTCCCAGCGCCAGCGTCACGTCTGCAGCAGCGGCTGTCTAGTGTCTGTCACACACTGGCTGCTTCTCACAATTCCACAACCCTGAGACACAGGACACTTGGTGCTGAGCAGTGGGTGTGGGCCACGGCTGGAGGGAGGGCCTGTGGGGGCCTGGGGCGGGTGTGGGCCACGGCTGGAGGGAGCCTGGCGGTGTCCTGGAGCAGGTGTGGGCTACGGCTGGAGGGAGGGCCTGGCTGTGGCCTGGAGCAGGTGTGGGCTATGGCAGGAGGGAGCCTGGCGGTGGCCTGGAGTGAGTGTGGGCTACGGCAGGAGGGAGGGCCTGGCTGTGGCCTGGAGTGGGTGTGGGCCATGGCTGGAGGGAGCCTGTGGTGGCCTGGGGCGGGTGTGGGCCACGGCTGGAGGGAGGGCCTGGCTGTGTCCTGGGGTGGGTGTGGGCCACGGCTGGGAGGGCCTGGCTGTGGTGGCAGGAATAGGTGTGGGCCATGGCTGGAGGGAACCTGGCGGTGGCTGGAGCGGGTGTGGGCCATGGCTGGAGGGAGCCTGTGGTGTCCTGGGGCGGGTGTGGGCTACAGCTGGCGGGAGCCTGTGGTGTCCTGGGGCGGGGGTGGGCCACGGCGGGCGGGAGGGCCTGGCTGGGGTGGCTGGTACCTGTCTCCTTGCCCGGGATGCGCGTGGTGTTGAACATCCTCTCCATCTGGTAGCAGCACATGGGCACGATGCCCAGAGCCATCACCTGGGAGACGGCCAGCGTGCTTCACACAGGCTCCTCTCCCCACCCCACCCCACCCCTGCGTGCTTCACACAGGCTCCTCTCCCACCCCACCCCACCCCTGCGTGCTTCAGACAGGCTCCTCTCCCCACCCCACCCCTGCGTGCTTCACACAGGCTCCTCTCCCCACCCCACCCCTGCGTGCTTCAGACAGGCTCCTCTCCCCACCCCACCCCACCCCTGCGTGCTTCAGACAGGCTCCTCTCCCCACCCCACCCCTGCGTGCTTCAGACAGGCTCCTCTCCCCACCCCACCCCACCCCTGCGTGCTTCACACAGGCTCCTCTCCCCACCCCACCCCACCCCTGCGTGCTTCACACAGGCTCCTCTCCCCACCCCACCCCACCCCACCCCTGCGTGCTTCACACAGGCTCCTCTCCCCACCCCACCCCACCCCAGCGTGCTTCAGACACAGACTCCTCTCCCCACCCCACCCCACCCCTGCGTGCTTCAGACACAGGCTCCTCTCCCCACCCCACCCCACCCCTGCGTGCTTCACACAGGCTCCTCTCCCCACCCCACCCCTGCGTGCTTCAGACACAGGCTCCTCTCCCCACCCCACCCTCACCCCTGCATGCTTCAGACACAGGCTCCTCTCCCCACCCCACCCTCACCCCTGCTGCGACTCACAGGCTTGATCTCCTCACGGTCCAGCTTACGGCGGTACATGATCATGGCGTGGACGGCGTTCCCCACGCGGGCCGCCTGCACATCCGTGTTCTTGACCAGCACGAGGTCCTGTGGAGCAGCAGGGCCACGGGGGTCACTTCCTAGGCCCCATCTCCTGCACATGCTGCCTGGCCGGACCTCCAGACTCGCCACTCGCCACAGCTCGTCTGCTGCAGCTTCAATGTGAGCTGCTTTACGAAGCTGATTGTACTTGTTCATGCCTTATTCTGCTTTGAGGAAGCGGTTCCACCACCAAAAACCAGCTGAAAATCTCGTATGGACAAGCTGTGGGAGGTTTCTGGAAGGACAGCTTGTGGGGAGGTGGGAAGCCAGCAGGCTGCTCGAGTCCGGCGTGCCTTGGACAGTGGACACTCCAGGATGGGAACGGGGGAGGAGACCCTGGTGGCTGTGCACAGGCATGCTGGAGAGTCAGGACAGGGGCTGGCCACACGGCCCTCGACCTGGGTAATGGCGTCAGCTGGGAGGCCGGGGGTGAACTAGGGAAGAAGCGATTGAGCCTGAGCCTGGCGGGGCAGGGAACTGAGCCAGGCAGCAACAGGCCGCTCGGGACAGCTCTGGGCTCTCCCTTCTCCCTGCCCTCTGCGCCCCACTCACACGTGGAAACTTTCACCCGGGCGCTTGGGTGTCCTCCAGGACCTCTGGCCTGGAGCTGGGGACACGCTGGGCACACTCCAGCTCTTACCATGACATAGTAGTTGCTGTTCACCATGATGGGGCTCCTCCCTCGAAGGTAGACGTACTCTTCCCACCAGTCACTCACCTGTGGGTGGGGGGTGGGAGGCTTGAGCTGGGGAGGGGCAAACACGGTGGGTGAGGATGAGCCCCAGGGACAGCACTCACGTAGTTGGTTGCCCACCAGGACTTGAACACCAGGTATTTCTGCAGCCTGGGGGCCGTCTTCTCCTGGAATTCTTTGGCCAGTGTCTCCATGCGGTAATACTCCTCGTCACCCAGCAAGGGCCTCACGGACTCCAGGTACTGCCGGTGAAGTTACCATTACCGTGGGGGGTCCGACAGCCTTACCCCTCTTCCCAACTCTGCCCTCAGCCCTGCCCTAACCCAGCCCTGCTATTCAGACCCGCCATCTGCAGGGAACAGGCCTTTACAGTCGCACAAGCCCTCTGCATTCAGCCTCCCCCGCCTGCCAGGATGCCCAACCCCGGCCCTCACTCGCTGGATCGTGGCTGGCACACTGGGCACGGGAAGTTTGGGCAGAGACGTCTGGAAGCTGTAGAGCATGGGCCGCCGGCTGGACAGGAGGCGGACACAGATCTAGGGGTAGAAAAGCAGTGTTGGGGTGGCAGCCAGCAGAAGAATGGAAACACCGGCAAACACCCGAGGCCCTCAGAACCGTCCTGCGGGACCCCCCAGACAAACCCACATGCCAAGCACCGGAGCCCTGTCTGCCCCTCCCCTCCAGCGCGGAACCACAAACGAGACCCTCTAGGTCCTCAGATGCCCGAGCCCTTCCGTGGCCTCTGCTCACAGCCCAGATCTTGGTGAAGCGGCTGGTCTTGCCGTGCATCTCAAACATCCACCCGTGGTAGGAGAGAAGCAGCTTCAGGGTTTGGCGGAAGAGAAAGATGCCCGTCACCCAAACCCCCGTGGAGAAGATGGCCATGCTGAGGAGCGCCCTGGTCTGCGGAGTCTGGTAGGGGCCGCACCTGTTGGAGGAGGGGTGAGGGCTACAGGGACCCATGAGAGGCCAGCCCAGGCAGACCCAGTTGGCTGACAGCTCAGCTGTCTTGTAGGGGTCAGCCTGACAAGGCGACGTGGGGCTGAGGTGCTGGCGGCCCCTGAGGGCTGCCCCTCTGACCACCAATGGCTGCTGTCTGCACCTGCCCACCTCGGGAACCCCACTCTGCTTCTCACCGCTCAGGGAGGTACTTCTGGATGCAACAGACCAGCCCCATGGAGATGTCCACCTTGCAGTAGGAGGAACCCATCGTCGCCATGACGACCACCAGCCAGCTGGTCGGGCTGCCGGGGTACACACCCCTAAGGATGCCATTCTGGGGGGCGGGAAGGTAAGGCGGGTGAAGTCCAGGTCTCCGGGGTCTGCTCGCTGTGCCCACCCCCCTGCTCCCCCAGACTCTCACCCACCGCCTCCCCCACACCTTGGGCACCCCTCTGGGTCTGCACTGCTGGAGCCTGGGTGGCATGAGGGGCCCTGTCGGAGGCGCAACAGCAGACCCCTGGCCTCCGTCTCCTCCCAGGGCTTTGTTCTGCACCTGCCAGGAGAACCAAGCCCTCGGCGCCCACCTTGATGCGAATCAAGCGCTTCTTCCACGAGTTGATCCCGGACAGGTAGACGTGTTTCAGGGCCTCCCGACTGAGCCGGAAGTCAACCCCGTCCGGGGTCACAGTGAACTGGAAGGCTACTGCCTGGTGTGCTTCCGCCATCCCGGGGGTTGGCCGGCACCTGCGGGGGTGGGGGCGCAGGAGGGGGCGCGGGAGCGTTCAGGCCAGCCCCGCCCAGGGCTCCCCACAGCGTCGAGGCCCCGCCCCGGCCCCGCGCCCACCTGGTGTGCGCCCCTGGTCCCAGGCCCCCAAAGCCGTAGCGTCTTGGCCACTCCCCATGCCGCGCGCCCGGGCCTGCCCCTCAGACCCCGCCAACCGCCGCGAAACCCTCGCGCTGGGGCCGGGCCTCGCCGCGACTGGGTTTGGAAGGGGGTCGGGGCTTGAAAGCTGCGGGAGCCGCAAGGCGTGGAGGCTGGCGGAAACGGGGACAGGAACCCCCCCACCCCGCCCCAGGAAGCGGAGTCTGCCGGCAAGAGGCTGGGTTCGGACCGCACGGGACCCCGCGCGCGCCTGGGGGCTGAGCCAGGAGGGCCGCCCCGCGCTGGCCCTACTCACAGCTCAGGTTTGTTGCAGTCTGTATGGGGCCAGCCACCCTGGCCCGCGTCCCCACGCCCTTCAGGCCCGGCCGCCCCTGCCCCGCCCTCACCGGGAACCTGACACCCACTCCCAAATTGGGGAGAAACAGATGTGGGGCAGGAACCAGAACCCCCTCCTCTCTGCGGCGGCGGGAGCTGCTGCAAGCTGAAGGTTGCCCAAAGGTCTGGGAGGCTGGGGGGCAGGGGCGGGGCGTGGGTCTCACGTGAGAATCGTGGCATTAGAGCTAAAAATAGCCGAATGTAGGGGAAAGGTCACCAGTGTGTCAGCTGTGCGCCTGGGCCCCTAACCTCTTGCACCCTCACCCCAAGGCCTCTCTGTACCCCACCCCCCAGTGTTCCCCCAAGTCCTCCTCCTGTTTACTCCTAAGGTGGAGCCGGGGAAAGGCGGGGACCCCGAGCGGACAGGGGTCACTGGTCTTCGTGTCTCACTTGCTGTAGTGCTCTGCGGCTGTGAGAGCCAGGACAGGGTGTGAGGGAAGCAGCTCATTTATTGTCTTAGGGTACACAGCCCAGGGCTCCTGCCCACCACGGGGACCTCAGCCTCACTTGGGGCACAGCCCCACCCCCAGGGCCTCCAGGGTCCCGCCCTGGAGGCTCCAGTGGACTCTGAGGATGGAGGGTGGAGTGTGGGCGGTCAGGACGAGGAGTGGAAGCTGGTCAGCTGGCCCTTCTGCTGGAAGTAGAACTGGAACCGAGACTGGGCGTAGTCCTGGGGAAGGAAGCCACCCGCACAGCGGTGAGAAGGCTGGGGACCAGCACCCCACGCCGGCCGTCTGACCTCGGTCACCCGGAGGATGTGTGCCTCCATGCCCCAGTCCCCCTAACACGCCCACCCCCTGGCTTCCTTACCAAGTAACCAAATTCTATGGTGGACATGGATGCCTGGAGGATGGACCACAGGCCCCAGAAGAAATGGGAAGCCAGCGCATACCTGAGGGCGGGCGGGAAAAGGAGGGGCACTCAGGGGCACGTGGGCTCCCCTCCCCAGGCGGGCCAATCCTTAAGGTGCTAACTTCCACCCCACCGCCCCCCTGTACCGGCCCCCGTATCCCCTCCACTGTGCCTTGCTGCCCCACTGTCCCCTGCCCTGGCCCCTGTATCCCCTCCACTCTGCCTTGCTGCCCCATTGTCCCCTGCCCTGCCCCCATATCCCCTCCATTCTGCCTTGCTGCCCCGCTGTCCCCTGCCCTGCCCCCGTATCCCCTCCACTTTGCCTTGCTGCCCCACTGTCCCCTGCCCTGGCCCCCGTATCCCCTCCACTCTGCCCTGCTGCCCCGCTGTCCCCCTGCCCTGGCCCCCGTATCCCCTCCACTCTGCCCTGCTGCCCCGTGTCCCCCTGCCCTTCCCCCGTATCCCCTCCACTCTGCCCTGCTGCCCCGTGTCCCCCTGCCGTTGCCCCCGTATCCCCTCCACCCTGCCCTGGCCCCCATATCCCCTCCACCCTGCCCTGGCCCCCGTGTCCCCTCCACCTGCCCTGCTGCCCCGTGTCCCCCTGCCCTGGCCCCCGTGTCCCCTCCACCCTGCCCTGCTGCCCCGTGTCCCCCTGCCCTGGCCCCCGTATCCCCTCCACCCTGCCCTGCTGCCCCGTGTCCCCCTGCCCTGCCCCCCGTATCCCCTCCACCCTGCCCTGCTGCCCCGTGTCCCCCTGCCCTGCCCCCCGTATCCCCTCCACCCTGCCCTGCTGCCCCGTGTCCCCCTGCCCTGGCCCCCGTATCCCCTCCACTCTGCCCTGCTGCCCCGTGCCCCCTGCCCTGGCCCCCGTGTCCCCTGCCCTGGCCCCCGTATCCCCTCCACTCTGCCCTGCTGCCCCGTGTCCCCCTGCCCTGCCCCCGTATCCCCTCCACCCTGCCCTGCTGCCCGTGTCCCCCTGCCCTGCCCCCGTATCCCCTCCACCCTGCCCTGCTGCCCCGTGTCCCCCTGCCCTGGCCCCCGTATCCCCTCCACTCTGCCCTGCTGCCCTGTGTCCCCCTGCCCTGCCCCCATATCCCCTCCACCCTGCCCTGCTGCCCCGTGTCCCCCTGCCCTGGCCCCCGTATCCCCTCCACCTGCCCTGCTGCCCCGTGTCCCCCTGCCCTGGCCCCCGTATCCCCTCCACCTGCCCTGCTGCCCCGTGTCCCCCTGCCCTGGCCCCCGTATCCCCTCCACCCTGCCCTGCTGCCCCGTGTCCCCCTGCCCTGGCCCCCGATTCCCCTCCACTCTGCCCTGCTGCCCCGTGTCCCCCTGCCCTGGCCCCCGTATCCCCTCCACTCTACCCTACTGCCCCGTGTCCCCCTGCCCTGGCCCCTGTATCCCCTCCACCCTGCCCTGGCCCCCGTGTCCCCCTGCCGTGGCCCCCGTATCCCCTCCACCTGCCCTGCTGCTCCTTCCTCACCGATTGGCCTCTATCAGCAAGTCTTCTTCCAGCTGTCTCTGCTCATCTTGGGAGAGGGTCTCCCCTTTCTTTGCTTCTGCCAGGTAGTGGCGAATAAAGTGGAGCTAGATGAACGGACAGAGTCAGCGCTGGCGAGGCTGCTGGCGCGAGTTCATTCCAGACCTCACCCCTCGCCTAGAACGGGCTTTGCTTTCCAGCCTCTGGCCCACGTACCTGCTGTCCCCGAGTGGGATAGTCTGTGGGCTGTGCTTTGTAGAAAGGCCATTCCTCGTGAGTATAATCATAAACCCACTCACAAAAATGGTTCCCAATGTCAAAGCCCCTGCGAGAACAAGGTGGACACTCAGTTCCCGAATGCCCTGGGCAGCTGGGAGGCAGAGCTGGAGGCCTGGTCTGTTTTCCATGGCCCAGGGGAAGAGATCCGGGGAGGCCACCCCACCCTCACCTGTAGTTGTAACTGCTGTACTCAAAGTCCACCAGCATGAGGCCGTCAGCGTTCTGTGGCTCTGAGAGCAGCAAGATGTTCCCTAGGGGAGTGGGAGGGGTCTGGTCACCCCAGGCCCTCTGGCCCCTCCACTTGGGGCTGGGAGACTCGTGCCTTCCCCTACCTTCCTGGATGTCATTGTGGCAGAAGACCACCGGGGATGGAGTCGAGTCCAGCAACTTCCTGCAGGGGCACGGGGCACGCAGCCTGAGCAAGGGCGCCCGAGGGAGGCCCAGGGCCACCCGCCTCGGCCAGGCCCTGACCCCGGCCCTCTGAGTCCTGGGTGCCGTCTCCTGCTCTCACCTGAGGTTGCCCATCTCTTCCTTCAGACTGTAGGTGGTCAGCAGGTCCATCAGGGGGAGGCCAGTGTCGGGCAGGTCCTGGATCTGCTTCAGGTACCTGAAGCCCGGAGCATGCGGTACTCACTCTGCTGTCTCCCCAGCTCCCTCGGTCTACACCAGACTCTCGCCCTGCGACTTCTCTTACAGATCCTTGGGGGTCTGTTGTGTGAGCCCGTGCTAGGCACTGGACGTTGTCATGGCCAGGGTCAGCTCAGGAACCCCAAGGAGGCCCGACTCACCGCTCCATGGTCCCAAACAGCCAGTGGGGCTCCTTGGCGAAGGGCATCTCCATGCCATGGAACTGGGCCATCTTGGTGGCGATGGCTGCCGACAGCACTGGCTCTCGAAGCTCTTGGGTTTTCAGTGGCCGGCTCTGCACCCAGGAACCTATCAGGGTGGTGAGGGGGCTGGGGCAGGGGGGGAAGGGGGAGTGGAAGGGGGGTGGTCAGGGTCTTGGGGACAATTCCCTACCTGGGCTGTGAAGGCAGGCACTGGGGGGAGGGGGGAGGAGGTGCTTTGGGGAAGAGGGCTCGTACTGGGATGTACTGTTCCAGCCGGCCCTCCGGAAAGACTCCGTAGAGCTGGGGTCCCAGCGACCGCTCTGCAAGGATGGCGAACATCACGCTTTCCAGGACCAAAGAGTCCACACCCTGAGGGAAGACGGGACAGAGCCCAGTCAGCCGGCACCAGAGGAGGGCCTGCTGTCTCCTCCCTCCACGGCCAGGACTCCCGGTCCTACTGCCTGTAGCTCCCACTCGCAGGTTTCATTTTAAAAGTTTATTTGAGAGAGAGGAGGAAAGAGAGCGAGCTTCCATCTGCTGGTCCACTCCCCAGATGGCCGCTGAGCCCTTCTGAAGCCAGGAGCCAGGAGCTTCATCCAGGCCTCCCAAGTGGTGCAGGGGCCCAGGCCATTGGCAGGGAGCTGGGCAGGAAGTGGAGCAGCCGGGTCTTGAACCGGCGGCGGCAGCTTTCCCTGCGGCTGCCCAGAGCACAGTTCAGCAGGGTAAACGTACTCGGCCCCCGGGGCCTCGGTGTCCTCCACGGGGCAAAGCGAACGCCTAAAGCCACGGTCGCCGCGGCCCCCACGCCCCCCTCACCTGCAGGATGGCCCCATACAGCCGCAGCAGCACCTCCCGGGGCTCGTCGCCAACGCTGGGCAAGTGGTCGGGGAGCGCGCACCGGAACAGCAGGTTACTGAGGCCGCCGCTGCAGACCCACAGCAGGCACTCAGGCGCCGGTGGCCGGCCCCGGCCCGGCCCCGGCCCCGACCCCTGCCCTGCCCCTGCCCGGCGAGCTGACCCTTGACCTCCCACCTCACGGGGTGCACCCTGAGCTCCTCGGGCAGCACTCGGCGCCAGGCCCCGCCCAGGTACTCCCGGCACCATTGGTAGGCTCGGCGCTCGGCGTCACGAGACAGCGACGACGCACGCCGCCGGGCTGGGGCCGCGTCCAGGCGCTGAGGCTGCGGCGAGCCGTCCTTGGCCAGGCAGCCGCCGACGGCCCCGCCTCCGCTCACAGCCGGCTCCTCAGCCGCCATGGCGCGGGCTCCGCGGGGCCCGACGCCCGGCCCAGCTCAGCGCCCGTCGGGCCGGCTCTGCCGCTTCCGGCCGCTCCCGGCTCCGCCCCCGTGCAGGCCGAAAGCCAATGGCGTCCGTCTCCGGGTGCGGCGTGCCCCCGGCACGCCCTCTGCGCTGAAGACGCCTCTGTTTGGACGGTGGCCCGGGCCCAGGAAAATGACGTAGACGAATCAGTGAGCCGTCGGGCGCGTCACGTGGTCGAGGCAGCGCGTCATCGACCCGCGTCCGAACCTAGGTTGGCAGGGGTGCCGTGGGCCTGGGCCGCGAGGGAGGAGGCGCTTCCGCAGGTCGGCGAGCGGCCCCGACGTGGCGGCTGCGTCTCCGGCCCGCGCGCTCCTCCCTTCCCCTGCCCCCGGGAGAGCCTGAGTGTGGTTGAACCTGGAGAAGAGGAACGTACGAGAGGCCCACGTCAGGGGTTCCGAGTGAGGCGTGTGGGCCACGGTGGGGACCGGGGACTCTTGGCGCGATGCTGATGAATCGGGGTATCCGAAACTCCTAGCCGCGGCGGAGGCGCCCTGCAGTGGAAGCGCGAGGCCGCCTTGCTGCAGACGACTTGCCTCCAGCCCCAGGAGCAGACGCCTGCCTGCCGGGTCTGCTCCAGGCACCCACGGCCCGTCTCGTGTCGAGGGCGTCCCACTTTGCGTGCATGCCCCCGCATTTCCGCTTTTGCCCAGGCCAGGGCTGCATCCAGGCAGGCTTGAGCCTCAGGGCTCTGTGGCCGGGCGTGCTGCACCGGCGGTGCTCGTTAGGGAAAGGAGACGGGCTTTGATGTGGGTAACCGGGAAGAAACCAAGAGTTGACCGAAGGCTGATGTCAACAATGGACAACGACTGTGATGTCAACAGTGCTGCAGTGGAGAGTCGCGGTCCCTCACTCGGTGCAGATCTTGAGCTCGTTCTGAGACCTGGACTCCACGTCCGGGCGGGGGGGTGGGGGGGGCGTGCCCTTTTTCAGGTAGGATCCTACACTGGCACCATGAGCGTATACACAAGTCCTTCTCCAGTTAGCCTGGTTTGGACAAGAGACTAGCCGGCCTCTCAAGGGCTGTTCGGTACAGAGTTCGAGCTGACACCTGTGCCAGGGTGCCCGAAGCATGTGGGCCCTCTGGTCTCAGTGTCTGTCCAGCAGTAAGATGGGCTTGTCCTTTGACCCTGGGCCTCTGAAATAGAACTGTATGTGGAAAGAACAAAGTGGAAGCTCCTGAAACTGCCCCCTCCCCAGCCCCAAGCCTTCCAGGGCAGTGCATCAGAGACAGCCCTGTGACCCGGATGATGGCAGTTATTCTGCCTCAAAGACTTAATCGGAGGCCCAACTGCATCCCATAATTCACCTGAACGGCCCCTGGAGAACCCAGAAGGATTCCTGTAAACAACGGAGACCACTACAGACAGCCACAGTGTCCCCAGTTGTGGCAGCTGGAGCCAAGTAACACACCCTGGGACTTGATCACGTAAGGTTGTGCTGAACATGGTTCCCATTTGGTGGGAAGGTTGCTTTTTTTTTTTTTTTCTTTGAGAGGTAGCGCTACAGAGCAAGGGAGAGACACAGAGGTCTTCCATCTGCTGGTTTGCTTCTCAAATGGCTGCAACAGCCAAAGGTGGGCTGATCCAAAGCCAGGAGCCAGGAGCTTCTGGATCTCCCACATGGGTGCAGAGGACCAAGCGCTTGGGCCATCCTCTACTGCCTTCCCAGGCCATAGCAGAGCGCTGGATCGGAAGAGGAGCAGCTGGGACACACTGGCGATGCCGGCACAGCAGGCGGAGGCTGAGCCCACCACGCCACAGCGCCGGCCCTGGGAAGGTGGCTTTCTGCCATGTGTTGTTTCAGGGCTGTTTTCACTCTCCTGTCCTGTCATAGCGTAGTCCGTGGGGAGTTACGGTGTTGGTGGCATCATACTGGTTGGACAGGGTGAAGAAGGACGTGACCATGCTGTGGTCTTGAGACAACGCAGGCCAGAGAATGCGAGAGAAATGCCCAGAGATTCTGGGGCCTGACACATCTGTCAGCGTTTAGGGGTGCAGTGTTTTAGGGTGAGAGCATCATGCTAGATAAGAGACTGAGGCAGCCCTGTGCCAGAGGAAGCACAGTACTTGATGATCTGCATTTTGGGGTCCTTAGTACCACACTCGGGAGCAGCATTCTGTTGCATTTTTTGGATAGCTGGAAAAACTTCCAGCTTTGGAAAGAGGGCTCAGGTGAAGACCTGGAGTGAGGGGTGGGCTCCCCTGCCACTCTCAGAACTGGGGGCTCGAGTTGGGCTTGTTTGTGGTCGGTAGGGGCCCTGTGTGCAGATTCCTAGGGTTCTGGACAAAGACCATGTTTCTGTAGGCACGAGCTACTCAGCAAGTGAGAACAGCATCTGGGGGCGTGGGTAGGGCAGCTCTGCCAGACTGGGTAAAGCCACCGCCTGCAACACCGGCATCCCGTACGGGTACCAGTTCAAGTCTGGCAGCTCCACTTCCGATCTGTCTCCCTGCTAAGGCCGAGGAGAAGCAGCAGCAGATGGTCCAAGTGTTTGGGCCCCTGCCCCCCACGAGGAGTGGGTGAGACCTGAATGAGGCTCCTGGCTCCCGGTTTCCACCTAGCCCAGCCCTGGCTGTGGCAGCTCTCTGGGGAGTAAGCCAGCATCCGGCTGCCAGGCTCAGATGGAGGCTGAGTGCCTGATTATGGGGCATCAGATGGCCACACAACCAAGTCTGGCATCCGTGTCGATCCACTGAGTCAGGAACGGCGTCCTTGGGATTAGACCCAGGCTTGTCCAAAAAGAGGTGGTCATGGCCCCATGTCTTCCATATTTTTGTACCAGTGCGTCTCACTTAACAGATGGGAAAAAATTCAAATCTGCTTCACAGATGAGTCAGCGTGATGAGTTGATAAGAGGGAAGTGAGCCACTCTGAGCTGCAGTGCCACTCGGTGGCTGTGCGGGGGGAGTCCACGGGCCGAGCGTGAAGCACTCGAACCTCTACCTTGTGTGGAGGAGCAGGCAGAGCAGTGGCATGAGTGGGCAGTCCAGCAGCTTCTGGGTTGTGACAGATGTCTTGCTGGCTGCCCAGGGGCCCAGAAAGAGCAAGAGGGGAAGACTGGAGACAAGCAGCCCCCAGGGAGAAGAAGGGCCTATCGAGTGCTCCCAGGAAGGGCACATCTGTCTGGTCAGCAGCTGTGCAGAGGAGGCACTGAGGAACTAAGTGGACAGTGTGGATGTCAGTCAGCCCTGTCCTTGGCTACCCTCGAGCTTGTGCACTGGACCCTTGAGCGAGTCCTCCTGGTGACAGCAGCGTGAGCACTGTCTCACCAGGGTTAGCCGTTGCTGCTGCTGGGGCGGTGATGTTAGTGCATAAGCTGCTCCCGGGACCCTGACATCCCTGTTGGCACACAAGTGCAGGTCCCAGCTGCTCTGCGTCTGACCCAGCTCCATGCGAAGGTGCCTACCTGCCATCCAGGTAGGAGACCCAGATGGAGTTTCAGTCTCCTGGCTTCAACCTGGCCCAGCCCCAGCCATTGTGGCCATTTGGGGAGTGAACCAGCAGATGGAAGATCTGTCTGTCTCTCCTTCTTCTCTGTTATGGGGCTTTGAAATAAATAAAATAAATCTAAAAATAATTGTTACTGCTGCTAAATGGCCTGTCCTCAGGCAAGGTTGCTACTGAGCACCTGGTGGACCATCCGAGAGGCACCGATGCCTCACTGAGCGGCAGGTTGACGGAGCCGGACCTGCCCAGGAGAGGGCATTGATTCATTCTTGCTGGAAGTGACCCTGGCTCCGGGTACGGACCTGCCTCTCCTAGCCACAGTGTCCTCGGCGAGGATCACCGTCTGGTGAGGCAGAGGACAGAGATGATGAAGACCGGCCCCAGCCTTGGGAGCAGCTGTGGCAGTGGGACTGTGTGTGGTCCCCCAGCCTCTCATGGCGCAGCCTTTGTAGAGGCCGTAGTCAGCCTCGTCCCTGAGAAGCACGTCAGAGTGGACACCGTACAAGTGGACCTGAGGGGTGCAGCAGTTTTTTTTTATATATATAGACTTATTTCCTATGTTATTTTTTTCTTCCTATGTTATTTTTTATTTAAAGATTTGTTTATTTCATCTGATTTATACCTATGACTTTGGTTAGTAGACCACCTGGTCTAATTTATACCTTGACTTCGGTGATGTGCTCACGATTAAATTGTAACTCAGTCACTGTGGGCTTCCTAAGGCCGCGGTAACAGATCACTGTACACGCAGTGACTCAAATAGCAGAAATGATTGCAACTCGGTCACTGTGGGCTTCCTAAGGCCGCGGTAACAGATCGCTGTACACGCAGTGACTCAAATAGCAGAAATGATTGTAACTCGGTCACTGTGGGCTTCCTAAGGCCGTGGTAACAGATCACTGCACACGCAGTGACCTAAATAGCAGAAATGGGCTGTCTCGTGGGCCTGGAGGTCAGAAGCTTGAACCCAGTGTCAAAAGGGCCCAAGTCGAGGGTTGGTCAGGTGCTCTGGGAGGACCCATTGCTTGTCTCTTCCAGCTGCTGCTGCTGCGTCTTCCTCTTCCTCTGCCTCCTCTCCCTCCTCCTCTCCCCTCTCCTCCTCTTCTTTGTAAAGATTGATTTATCTGAAAGGCAGAGTGACAGGGAGAGACATGAAGGGATCCTCCATCCACTGGCTCAATCCCCAAATGCCCACAACAACCAGGGCCATTCAGACCAAAGCCAGGAGCCAGGAACTCCCCCTGGGTCTCCCACATGGGTGGCAGGAACTAAGTACTTGAGCCTTCATTGGCTGCCCGTCAGGGTGTGCATTAACAGGGTGCTGGATCAGGAAGCAGAGTATCCAAGACTCAAACCAGGCACTCAGGTGAGGGCCGCGGGTGTCCCAAGCGGGCTTCTACCCACTGTGCCACAATGCCCACTTCTCCCAGCGTCTGGTGGCCACGGTGTTCCTCGTTGCTCCCAGATGCCTCTGCAGTCAGACCACCTCCCCCTCTCCCGTGACCTGCTGCCTGTCTTGTGCTCACTTGGGGCCGTCCCTCTCGAGACCCTTCTCCCCCCAGCAGCTTCTCTCTCCCTCGCAGTCCGCTTGCTGCTCCTGTGTCCCAGTTCCTGAGTATTGCATTGGGAAGCTCTGGTGCAGCCTGACTTTTCTGCGTTGGGTGGACTTGAATTTTCTGCCTGAATGCTTGAGGGAGTGTGGCACATGCGTGAGGCAGGACTTAGTTACTCGCTTTCAGGGACAGTACTCCGTTTCGCATTAACACAGCGTCTTACGGAGGACAACTTTTTTTTTTCTTTCTTTTTTTTTTTTTTGACAGAGACAGAGAGAAAGGTCTTCCTTTGCCGTTGGTTCACCCTCCAATGGCCGCCGCGGCCGGCGTGCTGCGGCCGGTGCGCCACGCTGATCCGATGGCAGGAGCCAGGTGCTTCTCCTGGTCTCCCATGGTGTGCAGGGCCCAAGCACTTGGGCCATCCTCCACTGCACTCCCTGGCCACAGCAGAGAGCTGGCCTGGAAGAGGGGCAACCGGGACAGAATCTGGCACCCTGACCGGGACTAGAACCTGGTGTGCCGGCACCGCAAGGCGGAGGATTAGCCTAGTGAGCCGCGGCGCCAGCTGGACAACTGTTTTCTAAAATAAAACTTTAATGAGCACAGTGGCCGCTGTGGCTTGTGCCCCTGAAAAAGCCACACTGGAAACTCAATCCCCACACAGCCAGATGGGAGGCTTGGCATCACGGGGCGTCATTGCGCGTTAATTCTGTTTCTGAAAGGGTTTGACGCTGTGAGCTCCGTCCCTCCTGCCTCTCCACGGTGCCAGCCCCTCCGTCTCCGGAACTGTGAGCCAAAAGCTGTCACTAAGGCCTCATCTGGGAGTCTGCTACAGCAGCACAGGTTAAGGCGGTCGCATTGTTTTACATTTTTGCAAATGTTTCACCCCCTTTTTTTTTTTTTTTTTTTTTGGCAAAGTAGTAAAGTTTTACTGGGGATAGGGCATCGGTCAGAACAGAAGGGACAGAGGGTGCCCAGTCACTCAGACCGGACGAGAGTGAGGTTACATGGTTGAATGGAGAGAATACACCTGGGTAGGCCAGGCGGGCGGCTCAGCAGAGAGCTGAGCATGCATTTTACTTATTTTATATTTATTTATATATTTAAAAGGCAGAGTTACAGAGAGGAAGATACCGCATCTCCTGATTTATTCCCCAAATGGTTGCAAATGGCCGTGACTGGGCCAGGCCAAAGCCCAGACCTGGAACTACATCCAGGTTTCCCATGTGGGTACAGGGGCCCAGATGGAGCCCTGCCACTTTCCCCACTTCCGCGGGGGAGCGGCACACCGCCGGCCGGCTCTCTCGGGGGCTGCACAGGTGTTCCCTTAGATGTTCCTGGTGCATGCCGTCTCTCTCCTCCTTTATAGTCCTCCTCCGCCAATCCCAACTCGGCTGCCCACATGCCGAGTACGCTGCTCTCCTCCAATCAGGAGCAGGTCCTGCTGTTTATTGGTTGAACTGGAGGCAGCTGTGTAGAAGCTGTTTTCTTCTCTCCCAGCGCCATATTGTGGGAGAGCAGATGCATAGAATAAGTCTTAATTCCAGTAACTTAGTCTAGTCCGAGCTGCTCCCCACAGATCCCCCTTTCTTTTTATTTTTGGCGTTGATACGCGCCTGTCTTCGGTATCCCGCGGCACACACTCTGCTCTACTTGCTAGAGTTGCCACAGGTTCTTACAAGTCCTATCAATCAGGCAAATCAAATCCGGGTCCTCTCTTCGCCATGTTGTGAGGAGGTTTTTAGGCGCTGATACATGCCTGTCTTCGGTGACCTGCAGCTCATACTCTGGTCGAGCCGCCTGCTGGTGCTTACCGCCTTACTAATCAGGCAGACCGAATCCAAGCCTTCTCATTGCCGTGTTGTGGGGAGGCCTTATTGATGTTAATTCGTGCCTGTCTTCGGTGACCTGCGGCGCATAAGCTGCTAGCCGCCCGCAGGTGCTCATTGCCTCACTAATCAGGCAGACCGAATCCAAGCCTTCTCATTGCAGTATTGTGGGGAGGCCTTTCTATTCCTCTATTTCTCTATCTCCGGGCATTCCTATTTCTCCCACTTTACTTCTGTCTGCCAACATTCCTATTTCTCTCACTTTACTTCTATCTTCCAGCATTCCTATTTCTCTCATTTTACTTCTAAACTTCTGTTTCTCTTATCCCCGCGGCTTCCCGGCGCCCGCCCCGAGGCTGCTTCTCGGCAGCTTCCCGGCTGTGAGCCGCTCGGCTTCGCGCGCACACTCCGCGGTCTCGCACTAGCCCTTTCGCGTCTGAACCACGGCCTCGCGCCAGCCCCGCGTTCCCTATCTATTCACGCCCCGTGCTCTCTCTGCACGCGGCGGCTTCCGCGAGTCACACAGCGTAGCTTACGTCTCCGCCACTAGCATTCAATCTAAGTTCCCCGGGCTAACCTGGCGAATTCAACCCAGCTCACGTCTCCGCCCCACGATTTGGCTTCCCGTCCTTTGCTCCCCGGGCTAATCAGACGGATCCCAACCGGGCTTACGTTTCCGCTTCTGGTTTTAACTTTTCGCCCCCTATTCCCGGGCTAACTTGAGAATCCCAAAGTGGCTTTCGTCTCCGCCTTGGCCTGCCCCCCGCGGCTTCAATTTCCCTAACACTTTTCTCTACCCGGTATGTTTCCCCAAGCTTTCCTCCAACAATACTCCTCCCTCATTTCTCCTGGCCTCTCCCCACAGTCCGCATCCGAGTCTGTTTGTTCTAGCTTTCACTTTCGCTTTCGACCTTAGAGATTTCTCCCAGCTTCCCCCTGTAGTCCGTATCTGAGTCTATGCCTAGGCTTTCAATAGCTTCTTCCGGCACCTTTTTCATCCGGCTTTTCCCTAGGCTGTTTGCTAGTCTCTCTCTCCGGCATTTTCCTGCTTCTTCCCGTTTCTTCCCTCCTAAGTTTCCTATCCGTCCTAGGTTTCCTATCCGAGTCACGGCACCATTATGTCGCTCCCCCTCTTCGTGGAGGAACGACACAGGATCCTGCGCTGTTCTTTCGTCTGCTCGGCCCTTCCCGGGTTTGCTGCTGGTTCTTCCCGGGTTGGCTACTATCCCTTCCACCTCCGTGGAAGGGCAGTTCCCCCTGGCCACATTCCGCACTTCCGCAGGGGAGCGGCACACCGCCGGCCGGCTCTCTCGGGGGCTGCACAGGTGTTCCCTTAGATGTTCCTGGTGCATGCCGTCTCTCTCCTCCTTTATAGTCCTCCTCTGCCAATCCCAACTCGGCTGCCCACACGCCGAGTACGCTGCTCTCCTCCAATCAGGAGCAAGTCCTACAGTTTATTGGCTGAACTGGAGGCAGCTGTGTAGAAGCTGTTTTCTTCTCTCCCAGCGCCATATTGTGGGAGAGCAGATGCATAGGATAAGTCTTAATTCCAGTAACTCAGTCTAGTCCGAGCTGCTCCCCACAGTGACACAGCAGGTAGTGCCTGCATCCCACGTGGGCGCCAGTTTGAGTCCCGGCTGCTCCACTTGCCATCCAGCTCCCTGCTGATGTGTGTGGGAAAGCAGCAGAGGATGGCCCCTGACCCCGAGTGGGAGACCTGGATGAAGCTCCTGGCTCCTGGCTTTGGCCTGGCCCAGCTTTGGCCAGTGCAGCCATTTGAGGATTGAACCAACAGATGAAAGATCTTTCTCTCTCTCCCTCTCTCCCTCTCCCTCTCTCTGTTTCTCCTCTCCCTCTCTTTAACTCTGCCTTTCAAATAAATAAATCATTAAAAAAAACCACTTTTAAGTGGAGAGAGGGAGAGTGAGCACTGCCACTCGCTGGTCCATGTCCCAGGTGCTCATGATTGCCAGGCTGGGCTGGGCCCACAGCCAGGAGCCAGGAGCTCAACCTGGGTCACCCACGTGGGTGGCAGGAACCCAGGTACACTGCTGCCTCCGGGAGTGTGCATTGTGGAGGCTGGAGTCAGGAGCCAGGCACTGCAGTGTGGGAGGTGGGCCTCTTAACTCGTGGGCTGAACACCTGCTCCCAAGAGATAACTTCTTAAAAGTTAGTTGCCATCTGGAACCCGACAGCACACCACAAGCATTTTCTGCCCTTAGTCTGTCTTGGCACTGAGTGAATCTTTTTTGTTTTTTTTAAAGATTTTTTATTTATTTATTTAACAGGTAGAGTTACAGACAGAGAGACACAGACGGAAAGGTCTTCCATCTGATGGGTCACCCCCAGAAGGCGGCAACGGCCGGAGCTACGCCAATCTGAAGCCAGGAGCCAGGTGCCTCCTCCTGGTCTCCCAGGCGGGTGCAGGGCCCAAGCACTTGGGCCATCCTCCACTGCACTCCTGGGCCACAGCAGAGAGCTGGCCTGGAAGAGGAGCAACCGGGACTAGAACTCAGTGCCCATATGGGATGCCGGCACTGCAGGCGGAGGATTAGCCTAGTGCACCACGGTGCCGGCCCCAAGTGGATCCTTTACACCACTTTTGAACATCACACAATGGCCTCTTGGAAAATAGTGGTTCTCTGTGCTGGCAGATCTTTCTAACGTTGGCACGTGTATTATATAGCATCAGAAAGAATGCGTGAATGTCATTACCAAGCTCCTCCTCAGATTCCTTCAGTATCGGGGAGTGAAGCTCACGGTGGTGGACACAGGCTTCCCCAAGCTCTGATTTCTGCGTGGAAGGTCAGGTTGTTCCCTGGAAGCGACGTTGTCAGTTTCCGTTGACGGGACCTGCTTCCTTTCTTGAGGAAGTGTCTGCCCAAGCCTGAAGAACCACGATTCGGAAGTTGTTCTTTCGAGTAAAATGGTGCTCCGTGAGAAACTGGCTGGATCCGCTGGCAGGGAAGACTTTCCCGAGAGATGGAGAGCACGGTTGCTCCATGTGCGTGCTCAGGCTTGTTAGGGTCACCTGAATGTTTGCAAGGAGTCAGCACTGAGACAGTCACGGTGACAAGTTCTGAGGTGGAACTGCAGTCCCCTGCAGGCGGCGTGACGAATCCGGTGGCCACTGTCACAGTTTGGTGCCACTGCTCTAGGCTGTGCTAAGAAGACAGGTGTCTCACGGGGGCTGGCGCTGGGGTGCTGCGAGTTAAAGTCCCAGCCTGCAGTGCCTGCATCCCACATGGGCACCGGTTTGAGTCCCGGCTGCTCCTCTTCCAATCCAGCTCTCTGCTAATGAGCCTGGGAAAGCAGTGGAAGATGGCCCCAGTCCTTGGGCCCCTGCACCCATGTGAGAGACCCAGAAGACACTCCTCGCTCCTGGCTTCGGATCGGCGCAGCTCCGGCCGTTGTAGCCATTTGGGGAGTGAACCAGTGGATGGAAGTCCTCTCTCTCTCTCTCTCTCTGGCTCTACCTCTCTCTGTAACTCTTTCAAATAAATAAATCTTAAAAAAAAAAAAAAAGTAGACAGCTGTCTCACCAACCATTGTGGGTTTTTTTTTTTTTTTCCACTATTGATGCAAAGGTCCACAGTATTGTTATAAATAACTTTGGCTTTTCTGATCCCCTTGAAGTGACTTGGGGACTCTAGGAAGCCATGAGAACCGCAGGAATCCTAGCATGATGCATTTTCAGTTTTATTAAGCAATGCTAAATTTATCTCCAAAGTAGTTATCTAGTTTTATACTGTGGCAATTATTTTATTAACTTTTTAAAATATTTATTTATTTGAAAGGCAGACAGATCTGCCCTCCATTGTTCACTCCCAAATGGCCACAGCAGCCAGGTCGGGACCAAGTCAAAGGCAGGAGCCAGGAGCTCCGTGCCAGTCTCCCACTGGGTGGCAGGGCCAAGCGCTTCGGCTGTGCTTGACTGCTTTCCCAGGCACGTTAGCGGGCGCACGTTGGAAGCAGCACAGCCAGGTCTCAAACCAGCCCTCTGCCAGGGGTGCTGGCTTCTCACGCGGCAGCTCAACCTGCTGTGCCACAACTCCAGCCCCTGCTTCATTCATTAGAGACCGAGCTTCGTCTGCTGGCTCACTCAGGTGTGTGGAACGACTGGGTGGAAGCTGTGTGGGAGTCAGCGCAAGTCTCCCATGTGGGTGGCAGGAACCCAGTGAATCTCCCATTGGGTGCTAATGCAGGATCTGCCTTATCGGGAGGCTGATCAGGAACCAAATCGGACTGAGCCCAGGCACTCTGATGGGGGCCTGAACAGCTCCCCGGCCGCCTCGCCCCCGGGTCAGACATCCATCCCTACTTGAGCAGTGTGTGGCCTTCAACTCAGAGACCTGGAATAGCTGTGCTTTATTTATTTTAAAGATCTGTGGTTTTGAAAGTCAGAGTTGCAGAGAGAGGCACAGAGAAAGATCTGCCACCCGCTGCTTCACTCCCCAAGTGGCCGCACTGGCCAGTGCTGGGCCAGGCCAGAGCCAGGAGCTCCACTGAGGTCTCCCACGTGTGCAGCAGGAGCCCGACTCTGCAGCATCTCCTGCTGCTGTTCTAGGCCATTAGCAGCGAGCTGGATTGGAAGTCAAGCTGCCGGGACACCAGCCGGTGCCCATGCGGGAGGCCAGCGCTGCAGGCGGCGGCTTTACCTGCTCCACCACAGCGCTGGCCTCAGTAGCGGTGACTTAAATAAGGGAAATCCGATACTGTGTGTTTGAACACGGGACTGTAGTGAGTGGGAGCCCAGCCTGTGCAACCTTACGTAGTTTGCGTGAGATTATTCTATTTATCTCATGTAGGCATTGAGGTAAGCAAGCCCTGGGCTTGAACGGTGGCTCTGTACCCCAAATATTAGTGTCCCCTAAAATTCATGTTGAAATCTAGTCTCTGATGTGATGGTGTTTGAGGACGGGGCCTCTGGGGGGAGGCCCAGGGCCGTTGGCCTAGCAGTGGATTCACTGGTCAAGGTACCGTATCTCACATCACAGTTTGCTGGCTTTGGCTGCTGGCTCCCGCGCCTGACTCCAGCTTCAGGCGCACACAGACCCTGGCAGGCAGCAGGGGTGGCTGGAGCGACTGCACTCCTGCCACCCACGTGGGCGAGCCAGCGTGAGCTTTGGATCCGGACTTCTCCAGCCCACCCAGCTGGAGCAGGTGCGTCTGGGGAGTGACTCAGCAAATGGAAGCCCCCTGTTGTTTGGGCAGATCTCAGGGAACAGTGACTGTTTAAGACAGCAGTAGCACATCCTTGTGAGTCTTAGGACGAAGAATAAAGCAAACTGGGATTGAAGTTGGGACTCTCCAAGCTGGGTTCCCCGTGCTGTTCCAGAAGCGGTGAAAATGCTGACTGACCGCGTGGGGGCGTCACCATTATGGGATACCTGATGTGGGATTCTTTCAGAAGTGTGAGGAGCTGACTTGGAGGTGTGTGAAGTGCAGGTGGGCGGGGAGGGAGGGAGAGCCGTCCTCCCAGCTACCTGGGCACTGACTGTCCCTGGAGCCCAAGGATGTAGCCCACCAAGGGCACTTTTTGTTAACCGGTGGAGCACGTTTGTGGGCAGAAATGGCCTCCTTCAGCCTACCAGGAGGAGCCACCGTCGCTCCCAACGTCCGTGTATGTGGGGGAGGGGCTGGGGAAAGGCGGAGGCTGTGCCCAGGGACCCCGTCCAGCTGTTCTCCTCTGGGACACTGCTGGGGTCCCTTTGCATGCTCCCGGCGTGGACAGTGCCCTGACTGTCCCTGTGTGGAGACTGTATGACCCTAACCCGTTCTGCATTCAGGAAAACCATCTTTGAGCAAGAAGTTTATATGACGGAGGCTATCGAGACATTCAAAGATTTTTTTTTTTTTTTAATTTGCTGATATGGAGCCGGCGCCGTGGCTCAATAGGCTAATCCTCCACCTTGTGGCGCCGGCACACCGGGTTCTAGTCCCGGTTGGGGCGCCGGATTCTGTCCCGGTTGCCCCTCTTCCAGGCCAGCTCTCTGCTATGGCCAGGGAGTGCAGTGGAGGATGGCCCAGGTGCTTGGGCCCTGCACCCCATGGGAGACCAGGAAAAGCACCTGGATCCTGGCTCCTGCCATCGGATCAGCGCGGTGCGCCGGCTGCAGCGGCGGCCATTGGAGGGTGAACCAACGGCAAAGGAAGACCTTTCTCTCTCTGTCTCTCTCTCTCACTGTCCACTCTGCCTGTCAAAAATTAAAAAAAAAAAAAATTTGCTGATATGGTGCTGCCTGCAGTGCTGGCATCCCATACGGGCGCCCGTTCATGTTCTGGATGCCCCACTTCCGATTCAGCTCCCTGCTAATGGCCTGGGAAAACAGTGGATGATGGCTCAAGTGCGTGGGCCTCTGCCATCCGTGAGGGAGACCTGGAAGAAGCTCCTGGCTCCTGGCTTTGGCCTGGCCCAGTGCTGGCTGTTTTGGGCATCTGGGAGAATGAACCAGTGTATGGAAGATTTTCTCTCTCTCCCTCTCTCTCCCTCTCTCTGTATGTATGTGTGTGTCTCCCTCTTTCTGTAACTCTTTCAAATAAATTTTTAAGAATAAAAACTTGTTGATAATAGCAACACTTAGTAGTCTTTGATTCATTGACACCATAGTCCTCTGGTTTGGAAGGGAATAATTATTTGTTAGGTTTCGTTTATAAACCTGAAGGACTTTCCTTGCTGTCCTCTGCTTTGAGACTAAATGCTATAAACCCATGACTTTGTAAAAAGATGCGGACGTGTTGTTTACTTAACTCTAGATGGTGCATCCTTGATGATGGGGAAAAGACTCAGAAGAGAAGCCCATGAGTTCATTTCACACAAGGAGCTCGAGTGGCCAGTGAGGAACTGGGGGGACTGACGGCCTGCAGCGTGTGGTGGTCTCACAGCACGGTCTCCAAACCCGGGTCTACAGTTCCCATCTCACGCTGGATGTGCAGGTGTGGTGGGAGTGATGCCAGCTGACGTCCAAGGCTGCAACAGAAAAGGCCATGCAGCTTCCAGCTGGCCCTCCAAGGGAACTCGCTCTGGTGGAAGCCAGCCCTGTGAAAGAAGCCCGACCGGCCCAGGTCCTCCGTGCCCGGGGTGGTCTGGGTGACAGCCCCAACCCAAGCTCCAGCGGGTGCTCCGTATCCGCTGCCAGCTCGTGAGCAAGCAGCTCTGACTGCAAGCAGAGCCCAGCGAAGACCCAGGCAACAGCTCCTCACTGGGGTCCTTCTCAAATTTCATTCTTAAAATCTTTTTTTTTTTTTCCGTTTTATTAGCAAGGCATAGGGCTGGGGGCCAGCACTGTGGCACAGAGAGTTAAAACCCTGGCCTGAAGCGCTGGCATCCCATATGGGGGCTGGTTCTAGTCCCTGCTGCTCCTCTTCCAATCCAGCTCTCTGCTATGGCCTGGGACAGCAGTGGAAGATGCCCAAGTCCTTGGGCCCTGCACCCATGTGGGAGACCCAGAGGAGGCTCCTGGCTCCTGGCTTCGGATCGGCGCAGCTCTGGCTGTTGTGGCCATCTGGGGAGTGAACCAGCGGATGGAAGACCTCTCTGTCTCTGTCTCTGTCTCTGTAACTTTCAAATAAATAAAATGAATCTTTAAAAAAAAAAAAAGCATAGGGACAGAAAGGGAGATTTTCCACCCACTGGTTCACTCCCAAATACTGGCAACAGTCGAGGCTGGGTCAGGGGTCCAGGACTCCATGCAGGTCCCCTGTGTGGGTGGCAGCCACCCAGTGCCTGGGCCATCATTGCTTCACCCGGGGTGCACTAGCAGGAAGCTGGTTCAGAGCAGAGGAGCATTCAGGTGGGATGCCCGCCTCACAGCACTGGCCTGGCCTGCTGTGCCCGTCACATGCTTCTTACAGATCAGAGAATTGTGGGTGTCATGGCAATACAGGAAGAGAGGGGAGAAGTAGGAGGTAATGGTTAGCTGGACGCTAAGACCTATATTCGGGAGGGTTTAGGACTGCATTGCCAACAAGGTATGACTTCTCAGCTTTATAAATATTTCTGTCTGTAGTTTAGCCTTTTACTCTTTTATTTTGTGATTTTAATGCAATACAAATAAAAAAAGAAGATGGATAGTTTGCATTTCTTTTTCTTTTTCTTTTCTTTTTTCTTTTTTTTTCTTTTTTTGACAGGCAAAGTTGGACAGTGAGAAAGAGAGACAGAGAGAAAGGTCTTCTTTCTGTTGGTTCACCCCTCAAATGGCCGCCACTGCTGGAGCGCTGTGCCAATCTGAAGCCAGGAGCCAGGTGCTTCTCCTGGTCTCCCTTGCGGGTACAGAGCCCAAGGACCTGGGCCATCCTCCCTGCCTTCCCGGGCCACAGCAGAGAGCTGGACTGAAGAGGAGCAGCTGGGACAGAATCTGGTGCCCCAACCGGGACTAGAACCTGGGGTGCCGGCGCCACAGGCGGAGGATTAGCCAAGTGAGCTGCAGCGCCGGCCTGCATTTATTTTCTTCAAAAAATGTTTTCAAATTTATTTGGGTGTCAGAGACAAGGTGACAGAGCTCCCACCCACCAGTTCACTCCCAGGACAACGGGGGCTGGGCGGGGGCTGGGCAGGGGCTGAACCTAGGAGCCAGGAGCTCGATCCAGGTTTTCTCAAGTACTCAAGCAATCGCCACTGCCTCCCAGGGTCTGCGTTAGCAGGAATGGGAGTCAGGAGCTGGAGGGGCATCAAACCCAGGTGCTGGGCCAAATGGCCACTCCGTCCTCTGAACTCTGAGAAGTTTGTTGGCAGACGTCCCCTGCTGTTCCGGGGTTGCTGTGGCCAGGATGATGGAACCTGCGCTGCCACTGACGGACCTACAGCAAAGAGGGGTTCACATGGCAGAAGGAAAAAGTCTTTCTGTCACCTGAGAAGGAAAGGGTTCTGGAAGGATACTGGCAGTGGCCAGTCAGGAGCAGTGGCCGCTGTCCACTGCTGCGAAGGGGGGGGGGGGCTGCTGCTGCGGCCTGAGGGCCACGTGGGGCAAAGGTGTCAGTGTGATGAAATGCACACCATGGAAGGAGCACAAGCTCCCTCAGCAGAGACGTTCTGAGCTGGACACAGCAGCCCTGGGTTTGGAGGAGCAGAATCCAGTGTGAACAGGAGGGAGCAGAGGGGCGAGTGCTGTGAAGCCGCCGCCTGAGTGCCAGCCTCTCGCATGGGCGCTGGTTCAGGTCCCGGCTGCTGCACTTCCCATCCAGCTCTCTGCTGGGGCCTGGGAAAGCAGTAGAAGGTGGCCCAAGTCCTTGGGTCCTGCACCCGTGTAAGAGGCCCTGCAGAAGCTCCTGGCTCCTGGCTTTGGTTGGCGCAGCTCCAGCCATTGTGGCCAATTGGGGAGTGAAGCAGCAGATGGAAGACCTCTCTCTCTCTCTCTCTGCCTCTCTGTTATTCTGCTTTTCAAATAAATAAATATATCTTAAAAAAAAAAAAAAAGAGCAGGGAACAGAGCACTGATAAATGCCTGGGGTTCTCCGGGTTCTAGTCCCGGTCGGGGCGCTGGATTCTATCCCAGTTGCCCCTCTTCCAGGCCAGCTCTCTGCTGTGGTCAGGGAGTGCAGTGGAGGATGGCCCAAGTGCTTGGGCCCTGCACCCCATGGGAGACCAGGAGAAGCACCTGGCTCCTGCCATTGGATCAGCGCGGTGCGCTGGCCGCAGCATGCCGGCCATGGCTGCCATTGGAGGGTGAACCAACGGCAAAAAGAAGACCTTTCTCTCTGCCTCTCTGTTATTCTGCTCTTCAAATAAATAAATATATCTTAAAAAAAAAAAAAGAGCAGGGAACAGAGCACTGATAAATACCTGGGGTTCTCATAGCATCACATAGATGCATAAGCTGAGACCCACAGGGGTTTAGTAATTTGCCTATGTTCAAAACGTGGTGGCAAGACAAAGATTTTAAAATTTTTTATTAATATAAAAAGCATAGGCCGGCGCCGCGGCTCACTAGGCTAATCCTCCGCCTTGCGGCGCCGGCACACCGGGTTCTAGTCCCGGTCGGGGCGCCGGATTCTGTCCCGGTTGCCCCTCTTCCAGGCCAGCTCTCTGCTGTGGCCAGGGAGTGCAGTGGAGGATGGCCCAAGTGCTTGGGCCCTGCACACCATGGGAGACCAGGAGAAGCACCTGGCTCCTGCCATCGGATCAGCGCAGTGCGCCAGCCGCAGCGCACTGGCCACCGCGGCCATTGGAGGGTGAACCAGTGGTAAAGGAAGACCTTTCTCTCTGTCTCTCTCTCTCACTGTCCATGCTGCCTGTAAAAAAAAAAAAAAAAGCATAGGTCTCACGTATTTCATAGGTACAATTCTAAGATGATAATCACATTTCCCTCCCTGCATCTCTCCCTACCTCAACCCCCTCCTTTTCTTTAATTTTGGCAAAACATAATTTCAGTGCACTCTATAATGACAGGCTTAATGCACAACTAACTGTAATGTTCAGCAAATGAAACGTAGAAAGACCACAGTCCACAGGTCCGAGATAAACAAGGCTGTGCTCTGGGAGGCACGATGGGAGCTCCCACCGAGAACATCAGGGAGCTGCCCCAGTCTGTGCTCTGCACACTCCTGGGACCTGGGGTGGTTCTGGTAAGAGGAAACGAAGAAGCAGAGGAGCTAACGAAGGCTCGTGGGAGTCAACTCTGAGGCAGGCACTTGGGGCAGCAAACGTCACTTGGGATCCTGCGTCCATATCCCGCTGCCTGGGTTCTAGTCCTGGCTCCACTTCTCATCTAGCTTCCTGCTACTGCACATGCCAGGGGGACACCTGCATGAGTTCCTGGCTCCTCGGGCTTCCACCTGGCCAAGCCTTGGCTGTTGTGGGCATTTGGGGAATGAAGCAGCACAGGGGAGCTCTCTCTCCACCTGTCTGTCTCTGTCTCTCGCCTTTCAAATACAATGAAAGTAAATAAATACATAAATGGACTCATATTTGAAAGAATTGTTCCTTCCGGGTAGGTGCAATTCTAGCTGAACGCAAATCCCGCAGGCTGCGTACAGAAGTCATTTGAACTGTCAACGGCTGCAGAACTGACCAACCAGATGTTCAGTGTCACCTATGTGTAAATCCAAGTTAACCTTTTAATGACAAGGTTGGGGTCAAAAGGAAATCTGGGTAGTTGAATTCAGAGCTCTGCAAATTCTGGGAAGAGACCTGGAGCTTTATGGGGGAAAGTCAGGCAATGGTTAATATGAAAGCACTTCAAAAAGTTCATGGAGAATGGAAATAAAAAATAAAGTTTGTTTTGGTGCAAAAGCCATGTACTGTTTTTCCATAGCACTTTTTGAAAACCACACGTATGTCCAGATTCCTTGAACCTCAGAAACAGGGAATGTTCTCGGTGCTCCTCAGAGGACAGTGTGACGGTGACATCATGCTCTCGTGCGTTGGCTCATGCATTTGCACCAGGCACTGCGTTTGGAGCCTAGAGGTTCAAAGGAAGATAAGGAAAGCAGCTCTGACCCCTGCAGCTCTCACTCACTGGGGAGGGGAAGATAAATGAGCAAATGCTGTGCTCAGAAAAGTCTTGTAGCCAAGCTGAATTGCGGCTGCAGCACAGCAACAGGTAAGCTGATCAGCCCAGCAGGGAGACTGCCACTCGGGTGACGCTGCCATCCCAGCGGCGTGAGACCCCTCTGCCCTGCAGGTTCCAGGCATCACTCATCTCCATGCCTGGTTCTCCCCACAGAAGTCAGACAAAAAAAATCAGGGCCACGGGAAAAGGGTAAACTACACTGCATTCTTGTTGAAATGCCAGCCTCCTCCTTTGGCCAGATTTCCACAAAGACCCCTAGCTCTGTCTAGCGACTGGTCCCATCAGTCCCTGACCACCCACAGCCACTGCTCGAGCTCCATCCCCATGCAGCACCCCCACCTGGTTCAGCGTGAGGCCAGAGGTGCACTCAGCAGACAGAGCTAGCAGCATGGTGTTCACCCAAGAAACGGTTTCTTCAAAGGCACGAACAGAGCTTTGGCACTGGAACTTTTCCTGGGGCCATTGCTTCCTCTGTCCACAGTGAGTCATGTGCACTGTGCACGGAAGGCGCAGCTCTGCCCCCAGCAGCTCAAAGCCAGGCCTGAGCATTGTCCTGCAGGCAGACGTCCCTGGGGCCAGCACCCTGTGGGGGACGTAGCACCATCAGCACCCTGTGGGGACAGCTCCATCAGCACCCCGGAGTGGACAGCTCCACCAGCACCCTGTGGGGACAGCTCCATCAGCACCCTGTGGGGACAGCTCCATCAGCACCCCGGAGTGGACAGCTCCACCAGCACCCTGTGGGGACAGCTCCATCAGCACCCTGTGGGGACAGCTCCATCAGCACCCCGGAGTGGACAGCTCCACCAGCACTCCAGAGTGGACAGCTCCACCAGCACCCTGTGGGGGACAGCACCACCAACACCCCCGTGGGGGACAGTTTGGCCAAAATTTTCAAGGAGACAGCTCCACCAGCACCCTGTGGGGACAGCTCCACCAGCACCCAGGGGGAACAGCTCCGCCAGCACCCTCGGGGGAACAGCTCCTGCAGTCCTGTCCGTGGGCCGCCCAGGCCGGAATCAGCTCGCATCCGGGCTGGGACCCCCACACTTGCACTCTGAATCCGCAAGCAGCCCCCAAACCCGCGCAGCCCCCTCGAGGTTTGCGGGGCCAGACCCTGTCTGCTTCCACTTCGCCTCCGCAAGCTCCCGCCGGGCTTGCCCTGGGCGCCCCCGCACCTGCAGACCTTCCCGCAGGGACCCCGTGGCCGCCCCACCAGCCCTGGCTCACCTGGGGTTCACCGGAAAAGACCTCGCCCCGCCGGAGCCTCCCCCTCCCCCTCGCCCGGAGCCCGCCCCGCCCGCGCCCCTCCCCTGCGCCCGCTCCCGCGTCCCCGCCGCCCCGCGCCCCGCGCCCCGCTCCCCCTCCCGCGGCGCTGGCGCTGGCGCGGCCGCGGGCCCGGGCAGCCGAGGTGCGCGGCGCGCGGTGTCGCAGGGCGTGTCACGAGGTGAGCGGGTGAGGCCGGGGGAGGGACGCCGAGGCGCGGGGCTCGGCGCCGCGTCCCCGCCCCCGCCGCAGTCGCGGCCTCTCCCGGGGAAGATGGCGGATCGGGCGGAGATGTTTTCGCTGTCCACCTTCCACTCGCTGTCGCCGCCCGGCTGCAGGTAAGCGCCCACCTGCCGCGCCCCTCGCGGCCCGGCCCGGCTCACCCGACCCAGGCTTGCACCCCGTGCCCGCCGCCGCTGCGGACTCAGGCCCGGGCGCCGCCGCCGCGCCCGGCTGCCGCCCGAAGGCCCCGGCTCCCGCTCCCCACCCCCTACCCCTCGGCTCGGAGCCTCCGAGCTGCCCCCATTGCCCACCCCGAGGCCCCCGCCGCTCCCCTTGGCGACCCTGCGCCGCACGCAGGCCGGGCAGCCCCGGGACGGCCGCCCGCTCGGCGGGAGGCTGCGCGCGCGGCCGGCCGGGCTGTGTCCTTTTTGGCCTTGTTGGGCCTTTCGCTGGTGGAGGGCCCTGGCGGCGAGCACGCCGGATCTTTGCCCCACTCCTGCCTCGGGCAGGGGAGGGGGCCAGCGAGCCAGGCTCTCCCGGGGGGCTCGGCCCCTCCCTGTCTACCCGCGCTGCGGTGGCTCCCCTCCCCCTGCCGACTCCCTGGAGACTCAGGCGTGGACGTGGGGAGGGGGGCTGGGAGGAAGGGGCACGGTGGGGGAGGGGTGGCTCCCTGTGCGGCTTGGGTGGGGGAGGGGATCCGCTGCCGGAGCGCAGAGCTTGGGGGTCACGCGGACAGCAGGATGTGGGCCTCGGAGCCCGGAGAATCCCAGGGCCCTCTCCGGGTCCAGCTGCTGGGCAAGGACTCCGAGGCTGGGCCCCCTGACCCCGGCCTCCTCCCCAGGCCTCCCCAGGACATCAGCCTGGAAGAGTTTGACGATGAAGATCTGTCCGAGATCACTGACGACTGTGGCCTGGGCCTCAGCTACGACTCGGACCACTGTGAAAAGGTGGGGAGCACCGCCGGGTGGCCGGGAGCAGCTCGGGAGGGCCTGCGTCCACTCTGCTCTGTGTTCGCGAGCAGATCTAGGGTGGCTCTGGTCTCAGCCTGGGAAGAGGGAACCAGCAGATGGCTCCTTTGCCAGGCGGCCTCCATGTCTCTGACTGCCTCGGGCCCTCCTCTCCGAGGAAGCCCTGCCCTGACCACCAGTGTCCAGGCTGTCCTCAGGTCACTTCCCAGAGAGAGCTCAGCCCTTCCGCCCGGCTCTGCAGCCTCCGTCTCTGTCGCCTGCCCCGGCTCCGTGTTCATTCACTCAAGAACACTTCTGAGCAGCTGCCCTGTGGTGGGCGCTGGGGGCTCCCGGTGCTGGGAACGGAGCCAGCAGCTGTAGCCCGGCTGGAGGGAGGATGTGTGGGACAGTGGCCCCCCAGCACCAGGGCTGGGTCCTCAGGGGACGCAGGATGCCCCGGGGAAGGAGACAGTCCCAGACGCATGTCGGCTGAGGCCCGAGGCCAGCAGGAGCTGGGCAGGTGGGGGGGGAGCGGAGGAGAGGGATTGTAGGCAGAGGCACGGGCTGTGCCAGCAGCCCCGGGGCTGGTGCAAGCTTGGTGCGCGTCCAGCGTGTGCTGTCTCCGCTTATGCAGTCGCCATGAGCCCCGCGGGCTGTTCTTGGGGATGGGTGCCCTGACCTGATGGGGCCTGATGTCTGGTGGGGGTGAGCAAGACCCTCGAGCAGCAGTCGTGCGTGTGCCGGGGTGCCGAGGGAGGCAGAGGCTGGTGTTGCACATGGGGGGGGCGGTGAGGCAGAAGGCGCTGCGTGGAGTTCGGGCCTCCCCGCGTGTCTCAAGCAGATTCACAGCGTCTTCTGTTGCGGGGGGCAAAGGGCACTGAGGGGACGCGCCCCTGATTGGGCCCAACCTTGCTGTCTCCCTCTGCTGCAGGACAGCCTCTCGCTGGGGCGCACGGAGCAGCCCCATCCCATCTGCTCCTTCCAGGACGACTTCCAAGAGTTTGAGATGATCGATGACAACGAAGAGGAGGAGGAGGAGGACGAAGAGGAAGAGGAGGAGGACGACGAGGAGGGCGTCAGGGAGGGCAAGGAGGGAGGTGGCCCTGGCTCCGAGGCCCTTCACCCTGAGCCGCTGATCCCCTCCCCTTCGCTGGAGGAGCCCCACAAGCACCGGCCCAGCACTCTCCACCTGACCACACTGGGAGCCCAGGTGAGGACCTGCGGCAGAGCCGGGTCAGGCACCCGGAACTGTGTGGCTGCCACAGGCGCTGGGGCTGGGCCGTCTCCAGAGGCTCTTTCCTCCTTCTGCCCAGGACTCCCTGAACAACAACGGCGGCTTCGCCCCTGCAGCCCCAGCCTCCTGGCAGGAGACTGTGCCGTGTTCGCCTCCCCAGGAGCCCCTCGGAGGTGAGGGGTGGGGGCAGGGCGGCAGCTGGGGAGGGCGGGTGGTCTGTGCTGGGAGGGAGGGGGCCTGGCCCCGGACCGCGGTGACCCTCCCCCCCTGCACCACAGAGCTCCCCGGCCCCCTCCCGCCCACCGCTGCGGGGCCCTGTGAGGCGCAGGCACCGCTGCCCCCAGGGTGCGACTGTGAAGGGAACCGGCCGCTGGAGCCCCCGGCGCCCGGCGGGGCCTCGCCCGCCTCGGATCCCGGCATCGAGGCCGACCTGAGAAGCCGCTCCAGCGGGGGCCCTGGGGGACGGCGCAGCAGCCAGGAGTTGTCATCGCCGGGCTCCGATTCCGACGAAGCCGGCGCTGCGCGGCTGGGGCGCATGATCTCGTCCATCTCGGAGACGGAGCTGGAACTGAGCAGCGACGGGGGCAGCAGCAGCGGCCGCTCCTCCCACCTCACCAACTCCATCGAGGAGGCCTCGTCGCCTGCCTCGGAGCCCGAGCCGGAGCCGGAGCCCCCTCACGAGCCCCCGCGCCGGCCGGCCTTCCTGCCCGTGGGCCAGGACGACACCAACAGCGAGTATGAGTCGGGGTCCGAGTCGGAGCCGGACCTCAGCGAGGACGCCGACTCGCCCTGGCTGCTCAGCAACCTGGTGAGCCGCATGATCTCCCAGGGTTCCTCGCCCATCCGCTGCCCGGGCCAGTGCCTGTCTCCCTCGCCACGCCAGCCTGGGCCGCCTGGCAGCACCGCTGAGGACTCCCGGGGCCCCGAGGCTGGCACAGGCACAGGTGGCGTGGAGCTGGTGGACATGGAGACGCTGTGCGCACCGCCGCCCCCTGCACCCGCCGCGCCCCGGCCCGACCCCGCGCAGCCGGGGCCCTGCCTCTTCCTGAGCAACCCTACCCACGACACCATCACGCCGCTGTGGGCTGCCCCGGGCCACGCCACCCGCTCAGGCCGCACCTGCTCAGCCGCCTGCTCCGAGGAGGAGGACGAGGAAGACGAGGACGAAGAGGAGGACGAAGACGATGCCGGGGACCCCGCAGGGCGGCCGGGGGGCCGAGGCACAGGCCCTGCGGTGCCGCCGCTGGACGCCTCGCTGGTGTAGGGGGAGGCTCCGGCGGGGCGAGGTCTTTTCCGGTGAACCCCAGGTGAGCCAGGGCTGGTGGGGCGGCCACGGGGTCCCTGCGGGAAGGTCTGCAGGTGCGGGGGCGCCCAGGGCAAGCCCGGCGGGAGCTTGCGGAGGCGAAGTGGAAGCAGACAGGTGCCCGGGGACGCCTCTCCCGACAGCCCCGACCTCACCTTCTCCAAGAAGTTCCTGAACGTCTTTGTCAACAGCACCTCTCGGTCCTCCAGTGAGTGGTCCCTGGCCCCAGCTGCCCCACCGAGGTCCAGGACAGCCTGGGGGTCTGGGCGTGGCCAGGCCTGAGCACTGCCCTCTTCCAGATGCCCCTTGGGCAGGGAATGGGGTGGGAAGGGCAGCTCCGCCCCCAGCCCGCCCTCCACTCAGGACTCCGATAGGACTGGGGCGGGGCGGGGGTGGCGCCCCCCCAGGGCAGGTCTGGCAGCGCTGTCCCCACCGCCGCCTCCTGTGTCTCAGGCACCGAGTCCTTCGGCCTCTTCTCCTGTGTGGTGAACGGGGAGGAGAGAGAGCAGACTCACCGGGCCGTCTTCAGGTACAGCCTCCCTCCCGGCCACCGGCTCCCTGAGCTCGGGCCACGGATGTCACAGGACGCTGGTGGACGCGGCTCCTCCCCCGCCCACAGGTTCATCCCACGCCACCCGGACGAGCTGGAGCTGGACGTGGACGACCCGGTGCTGGTGGAGGCCGAGGAGGACGACTTCTGGTTCCGAGGCTTCAACATGCGCACGGGAGAGCGTGGTGTGTTCCCCGCCTTCTACGCCCATGCGGTGCCCGGCCCTGCCAAAGACCTGCTGGGTGAGGCCCTGTCCCTGAGGGGGGCGTGTCACCCCGGGCCTCCCCCCACCTCCTGACCTGGGCCCCGTGTGACCCGCAGGGAGCAAGCGGAGCCCCTGCTGGGTGGAGCGCTTCGACGTGCAGTTCCTGGGCTCCGTGGAGGTGCCCTGTCACCAGGGCAACGGCATCCTGTGCGCAGCCATGCAGAAGGTCTGTGGGGGCGGGGCTGCCTCCGGGGAGCCTCAGGGGCTGCTGCAGGGGCAGCGAGGGGCCCAGGGCAGAGCTTGGCAGCTGGCCCCTCACCCCCAGGTCCTTTGGCCCGTCCAGTGGGGCCCTCGCCTTCCGGCCGGCCCCTCCTCTTCCCTTTTGAAAACCAAGCCCAATTCTCGCCCCTTCCCCATGGGTCACTCCCTGACTCAGAGGACACTGAGTGGACACCTGCTCACCCGCACCCCTGGGATTGAGGGCTGCAGGGTCCAGGCGGTGAGGGGCAGGGTGGGGAGCTGCCTGGTGGGAGGGACGGGCGGGGGGATGGGGCAGGCTGGGTGCAGAGGAGGGACTGCCCCCACCCCTACCCTGAGGACTGACCAAACCCCTCTCCCGGCCTCGATGCCAGGAATTTTCAGGTCTAGTCTAGAGAGACTCCACCACAGGCGGAGAGGGAGGCCCTCACAGGCCCTTCACGGCCCGCTTCTCCCCAAATTCTTCCCCAGATTGCCACTGCCCGGAAACTGACCGTCCACCTGCGCCCTCCTGCCTCCTGTGACCTCGAGATCTCTCTGCGAGGGGTCAAGCTGAGTCTGAGTGGAGGAGGGCCTGAGGTGGGCTGGGGGCCTGGGGGAGGCAGGGGGGTCCGGCTGAGGGGCAGGCGGCAGCGCAGCCCTGCCCCCGCGGCCTGACCCGGGCGCCTGCACTGCAGCTCCAGCGCTGCAGCCACTTCTTCCAGATGAAGAACATCTCCTTCTGCGGCTGCCACCCCCGCAACAGCTGGTGAGTCTGCCGCCCAAGTCCCCGCAAACCGGGGGCCACCGTACCCCGGCCCCACCCACCACCTCAGCGCTCCACCTGCACCCCTGGTGCCCACCTGAGCTCCCGGGAGACATGGGCCAGACAGGCTACTGCGTGTGAGGAGCTCGGGGCATGTTGCGTGTCCCAGAGGGGAGCCAAGCCTCAAAGTGGACGAGCAGGTGAAGTGGGCGGGAAGCGGGGCCTCGCAGGGAGCTGGCCAGGCCTGGGTGTAAGTGCAGCAGCTGGAGGGGTCACTGGGAGCCGGGCCTCCTGCTGGCCGTGGAAGGCTGTGACCCAGTCAGGCTGACCAGCTGCCCGTGGCTGCTGTGAACTCACGACTGACCCCGGTCATCCAGGCGCCAGGTCACGATGGGAAGTGTGCACGTGCAGAGGCAGCTAGGAGGGCCGGGAGTGACCCCCGCACAGAGGAGATGGCGAGAGACTGCAACAAGCTGGCATTTGCCAGAGAGACCCTAGGGAAGGCCCGGCCTGGAGCCAGTGGCTGACGGACCGTCAGGAGAAAAGTGGCCAGGCAGGGTGAAGAGGAGGAGCCTCCGGCCTCCCTCCACCTCTGGGTCTCCGCGGTGGAGACCGTGAGAGGAGCCGGGCGGGCGGGGACAAGCGGGGCCACTGGAGGCAGGATTCTGGGAGGACACAGGAGAGTGTCCCGGGTCAGTGGGCCCCACGGTGAGAGCAGGAGGGGACGGTGATGGCGTGCGCCGTGAGGCACTGCTCTGAAGGGTGAGGAGCCAGGGCAGCGTGCAGGGGCAGCCCTGAGACTGGGGCACGTGAGGTGAGCAGGGGAGGCCCGCACTGCGGGAGGGGTGCGGAGGGCGCCTGTTCCTCTCCCAAGGGAGGCTGCGTGCTGGTGACCCAGCTGCAAGTCGGTGCGAGAAGGGGGTGGCCAGGCTGGCGTGGGGGTGGGCGAGGTGGCGGTGCCCATCCCAGCACGGGCCCCTGTGCGTAGCCCACTGAGGCATGGGCCAGTGGTTCTGCTTGGCTACAGTTTTGGGGCCCGGGGGACTGGAGTCTGGTGTGCAGGAGTGGCTGCCCCTCGCCGTGCCCACCGACGGTGACTCAGGTCTTGCATGGGAAGACAGAAGACTCGGGAGAGGGGTGATCGAAGGCAGTGGTGAGGGGGGTGGAGGAGCAGCGGTGGGACTGACGTCTCAGCTGGTGTCCAACCTGTGTCAGGGCTTCGCAGCCTGGCCCAGCAGAGGAGGCCTGAGGGAGCCCGCATCGAGCAGGAGAGGCCAGGGCCAAGGCCTCGCTCAGGCCCTGGGCAGGAAAGAGCATCGGTGGTGAGAGCTGGATGCCCTGGTGGCCGAGGAGCGAGCCCAAGGCAGGCACTGCTGCAGGGTGCCCAGAGCTGGCCTGGCCTGCGACCAGAGAAGGCATCTTTGCTCCTTTGGACAACGCTCATTCACTTCTTTGTATTTATTTTAAGGCAGAGACACAGAGAGGTCTCTGACCCAATGGTTTACTCCCCAGATACCTGCGACACAGGGGGCTGGGCCAGGGCCAGGAGCCCCATCTGGGTCTCCCGATTGGGCGGCGGGGACCCAGGCACTTGAGCCATCACCTGCTGCCTCCCGAGGTGCGCGTCCGCAGGAAGCCGGACAGGAAGCAGAGCTGGGACTCCCGTAGGATGCAGGCATCCCAAGGGGCAGCTTCACCACTGCACCGCACCCCTGTCCCCAAGCCCTTGTCCCTCCTCTTGCTTCCAGATCCCACGGGGTGGCGCAGGTCCTGACGCCCTCCACACCATCTCCCCACAGCTATTTTGGCTTCATCACCAAGCACCCGCTGCTGAGCCGCTTTGCCTGCCATGTCTTCGTCTCACAGGAGTCCATGAGGCCCGTGGCACAGAGTGTGGGGTGAGTGGGTCCCGGGTGGGGTGCTCCGGCTTTGGGCAGGGCTACGAGGATGGGGTGGGGAGCTGAGCAGGTGGGGCAGAAGTCTTGCAGCAGGAGGTCTGGGGAGGGGCCCTGGAGATGGGGAGTGAAGAGGTGGGGGTGGGAGAGCCAGGCGGGAAAGGGCACCAGTGCACAGACAGGGGCTGGCTGGGAGAGCTGCGGACTGGACTGTGGGGTGACATGGCCACGTCCTGTGGGTGGGGGACCGTGGGGGGCTCAAGTGAGGGAGGAAGGGGGGAGAGCCGGTGGGGGGACTTCTGAGACCGTTAGGGGTTGAGGACCCTCTCCCTGCAGCCGCGCCTTCCTGGAGTACTACCAGGAGCACCTGGCCTACGCCTGCCCCACGGAGGACATCTACCTGGAGTAGCCGCCTGCCTTCCCGCCCCTCAGCCTGGGCCCAGCCGGCGGCTTTGGCGAGGACTGGACTGGGGGCACGTGAGGCCTTACGTCTGTGGGAGTCTCGGGGCCGCAGTGCTCGTCCTAGATCCCCGGGGCTGATGGAGCCCCTGTGCCCCCCACTTTTCCTCTGATCGTCCCTCGTCACCCCCTTCCCTCTCTGTGCCTGCAAACCTTGCCCTCTGCTCTTTCCTTTGGGGTCAGAACTTCAGGAGGTGTGGAGGGAGGCAAGGCTCTGTTGGTGCCGGTGACACCAGGCACCCAAATGATCCCCTCCCCCGTGATTTATAAAGGAATTTTAATTTTTATAGTAAATCTCCAGGGGTCATCCCTTCCGTGACCTCGGACAAAGAGAGGCCTCCCCCACCCCACAGGGAGCGCAGGGGAAGCAGGGGTTCCGAGGGAGTGTGGGGCAGCTCGAGTGGCCCCTGCTGCTACCCAGGCCCCGGACTCTGCTGGGAGGGTCCTCCTCCGGCCCCACACCGTCATCCGCTTGCTGCTGCTAACGTGCCCTGCAGCCCAGTGCGCTCCCCACGCAGGCCGCTCGCTGCCGTGGCCTCAATAAACTCTATGCTTGGTGTGACCCTGGCTGTTTGTAAGGGGTGCCCAGGTATGGGGCCAGGTGCCTGGGTGCTGCCCAGGGCAGTGGGGAGGGAGCCCTGCAGGGCTTCCTGAGATTGCACAGGCTCTGCGGTGCTGCCTGGGGCCTCGGCTGAAGCTCCACGGAGGAGGCACCCCAGGGCCTCCCCAGTGCCCCGCTGCTGTCTGCAGAGGGGCTGAGATGGGAGTGCAAGCCTTGGCCACAGATGCGGGCGCCCTGGGCTGGGAGCTGGTGGGGCTCAGAGGAGTGTGCCTGAGTGTGTGTGTGGGGAGAGGCATGAACTTCTTGGAAAACAACCTACTAAATGTTAAAGTTAGAATTAAAAAATTCCTCATGGAAAGCCAGGAGAAAACAGATGAGTCTTTTTGTTAGGCCCTTAGACAACCCAGCAAGGCCCTTGGGACCCCCAGGTGCGCTCCAGGTGGAGCACCTGGTAGCGTGGCAGTCGGTCCCCGAGGGTGGCCTTGGTCCCTCCCCGAGCGCAGGAAGACAGCAGGTGTAGCTGTGGATGGCAGCGTCACAGAGGGAGGCACAGGCAGTCACTGTGCCTCCCCCAGGAGCCCCGTGAGCCGACAGGCAGCGTTGTGGCGCCGGGTCCTGCCAGGCACCACCCGTGCACGCTGGCCAGGGGAGCGAGCTCAGGCTGGCCGGCGTACGGTGGCCATCCAGCTTTTTAACCAGCGTGTCAGAAACTCCTGGAATCACTCTGAAGGAGGATGGGCGTTTGTGAGACCCCTGCCAGTGACAGTAAGTGAAGAGAAGGCCCCTGGCTGTGTCCAGTTGGAACTAAGAGGGGCAGCAGCCGCTCACCTGCCCTTACCCCCTGCCTCTCACTCCATCCACGCTCAGCCGTCCTGGCCCCTGCAGGCGTCTGGTGTTGCCGTCAAGGTGACCTTTCCCACAGGGTGGCCCTGAGGACAGCAGCTGGACATGCCCAGTGCCTGTGTGCCCAGCTCCTCCCACCTCTCCACTTCCTCTCCCGGGCCTCCTGGTTCCCTCCAGGGCCCACCCTGGGCTGGGTCCCGGGTTCTCATGGGCTTTGTCACCGACCCCCCAGACGTGGGAGCGTCTGTGTGCCGAGGGCCCATGCCCCACCCTGTGCTGCACCAACTCCCAGCTGCAGCTGGTCTCAAGGGCCCACCCTGGGCTGGTCTGAGAGCTACCGGGAAGGGTGCTGTGGATGCCAGTGTCACTGCGGCTAAGAGCAGCCCAGCCGGCCCTCGCCCTGCTTGCCCAGTTGTTCCTGAGCTGCTGACCCCGACCCTCATCCTACCTGTTCCGCGCACTCTCCCCCGCTGCCCCACCACCCGCACCCAGTTTCCTCCTGGATCCTTTTTTGTGCCTCTGATGGCCTCCTCCCTGCTCCCACCTCCTCCTGCAAATCCACCTGGGCTTGCCTCCAGCCCAGGAATGCTCCGCAAACGCCCGAGCGGGTCGCTCTGCTCCCCACTGCAGCAGCCTGGCCCCCGGCCCCTGCTTCCGGCGAGCACCTGCTTTGTTGCGCTGGGCGTCCTCCTCGTGGCGTCCGGTGGTCCTGCCCGAAGCTGGTGTCACGCCTGGTCCTTGCCCCGGGACTGACTGCTGGAAATCCACTCCAGGGGTAGCAGCCCCCACACCAAGCTTTCTGTAGGAAAGTTTCGCTGCATTCTTGTCTGAAATGGTGAAAGCGTAGTGAGGAGGTGCGCACCCTGGCAGTGTAGTGCCTGGGCTTGATGCCGGCTCCGGCTCCGGCTCCAGCTTCCTGCCGATTCAGCCCCTGGAAGGCAGCAGTGATGTCTCAAGTACCTGGGTCCCTGCTGCCCACTTGGGAGACCTGGACTGGGGTCTAGGGTCCTGGCCTCAGCCCAGCCCTGCCTTGGCTGTGTGGGCAGGCGTTTGAGGAGTGAGCCTGCAGAGGGAACGTCTCTCTGTTTCTGTACTTGGCTCTCCACATTTTAAATACAATGAAAGCATAACAGTAATTTAAATATTGACCGAGAGAGTTAACCAAATTAATGTATATTTACCTAACTGAAGCATTAGGCAGATGTGAAAGACAGTGTGCTTGCTAACATTTTGTAGTAATACAGACGTATTATGATGCTATCAGAAATAAACATGTAGACTCGTGCGTCGTGTGCTAGAGACCATGTGCTGGGAACGTGGAGGGGCGTGGCATCGGCAGTCACGGCTGGGGTGGGCGGGGCCAGGTGAGACTCCACCTTCTCTGCAGGGAGGACGTCCTACTTGTAGGCCTCCTGGGCTGCTTACCAGAGACTCCAGATGCAAACAGAAACGTGCACAAAGATGAACAAGCAAAGGTGTACGCTCCAAATGCAAGCACAAAAGCCGCCTGGCCACCGTGGAGCACGCGCCTCACGGGTGGCCACAGGGCCACAGGCAGCAGTGCAGCGGCTCTGAGCGCCCTGGAAGGCGCAGGTCCCTGCACATACAGGGCAGCGCGTGGTCGTCGGAGACACCTGGGGACTGCAGGACAGGTTACAACCCAGTGTGGGAAGATGGCCGGTGCTCATATTCTGGTGAGTTCCCAGGCTCCTTTCTGCTTGTGGATTCTGTTCTGTCTGAAGCCGGAGGGAGACCAGGGTGTGCAGGAGGCACTTGAGGCAAAGGTTAGCACGGAGCAGCAGAGGTCACCGGAGCAGTGGGCACACAAAGAACCATGGGCGTCCCACACCCGCCTCCTCGTTGGAGGCGACAGACTGACAGATGTGTGACTCGTGAGCACAAGGAAAAGGGAAAAATAAAATCCTGGTTTACAATGAGAACAGATTTGAGACATAACTAATAATAAAACAAGCCCGTCTGCATGGTGGGATCGACGTCCTATGGAGCCCCTCGTTCACTTTGGATGTGGACGGAAACACCCCAGCAGTGGTCCTGTCGAGGCCGGGCTGGGCCACGGGGTCTGCAGTGGTTGGCAGGGGACACCTGAGGGGCAGGCTCCTTGCCTCCATCCTGTGCCTCGAGTGAGGACCTGTCCTCAGGATTGCAGGAGGGCTGCTGTGGGCCCAAGCACTGTGCTCAACTTCCAGGCAAGAGGAAGTGCAGGGGCGAGGGGACAGAACGTGCGTGCTGAACGGAGGTGTGGGCAGGAGGAAAAGCCGGTGTGAGGCAGTCCTGAGCCCAAGGGGAAGTGGGGGCGTGCCCCCACTGCTTCTCGGCCCTTGCAGGGCGAGGGCTGCCCCCAGCGTGTTCGCTCTCTGCCGCCCTGAGCCGCTCCCTGCCAGCTGAGGGGGTGAAGACGCTGTGGGGCCGGCGCTCAGCCTGGAGGTTAAGACCCGCGCGCCCTCCCTGCAGTCTGGGCCTGAGGCCTGCTGCCTTCTGATCCCAGGCTGCTACTGCACACCCTTGAAGGCAGCGGTGATGGCTCAAGTCCTTGGGTCCCTAACACCCACACGGGCAACCCCGAGGGAGTTCCTGCCTCTTGGCTTAGACCTGGCCCAGCCCTGACTGTCGTAGGCATTTGTGGAGTGAACCAGTGCAAGGGAAGTCTGCCTGTTCCTCTCTCTCTCAATCTCTCTCTTCCTCCCCACCCCCCATCCCGGGACCACCCATCCCACATCCAAGACCTGTACCCAGGCTTCTGAGCCATCAAAGCCGAGTGGTGGCTCTGATGTCCACAACAGAGGCAGAGAAAGGAACCCGTGGCCAGCGAGCAAGATGTTCTGCTACTGAGTGGGCCACCCAGAGGTCCCCCAAGCAGGAGGCGGGCAGTGGGGAAGATGGACGTCAGGAAGCATTGCCCTTGTGCTGAGCCGTGTGGAACACCAGGCACAGCACCCCAGAGGCCACGGCCCTGAGCTGGCCTCCCCTGCTGGGGACAGGTGCCGGTGGAATTGGCATAAAACCCGGCACACAGTCCTTGCCTGCCTGTCTCGTCCTGCAGCCCCCAAGGCCACGCACGCAGTGTCAGCCTGAACCTCGCCCTCTCCCATAGCAGTTCTGAAACACCCCTGCTGCCACTTGAGCTGACGGCCAAAGGACCACTTTGCTTCGATTTCTTGTTTCCTCTATGCAAATCTGGAGAGAGAGGAGCAGTCGGCCCCTGGTGTTTCCCAGGCCACAGAAGTGACTCTGGGGGTCTCACACCCACCACAACCCCTCACTTCCCTTGGGAACACCTTGGCAAGACATGACGGGGAAGTTCACTCTGGGAGGCGGCTCGGATCGGGGCTGTCCAGTCAGCAGTGACAGGGGAGGAAGGGAGTCAAGTGTCCAGACACAGCCCCTCCCCTGGGAGGGCGTGGCAGGGTGGGCGGGCGGTGTCCCAGGAAGCAGCCTCTGCCTCCAACCCCACGAACTGCAGATCTCTCCGCCGGGTCTGTGGGCCCAACTCTTGTCTCCAGCACACACTTGCTGGGATTAGAGCGTGGGGGTGTTAATATTTATTTTCGTCCTACACCAATGATTCTGTGGTCAGAGCTGACTACAGAAACTGATTCTGGTAAGTTAACCAACAGGAAATTTACTGGAGGATGTGGGGCACTGAAGAGGGGATGTGACAGCCTTGGGAGATGGGTGGGCAGGCTCTGTGGACAGGAACTGACCCCACCCCCTGGGCAGGCTCTGTGGACAGGAACTGACCCCACCCTCGGGCGGTTGTGCTGGCTCTGGGATCCCAGCCCCATGAGGCTGCCAGGGGCGGGGCAGAGCCCCCGCAGGGAGTCGAGCGCACCTTGAGGAGGGCGGGCTCTGGACACGGCACAGCTGCGGGCGGGCTCTGGACATGGCACAGCTGCGGGCGCTGCTTGTTCCGTTTCCTTGCTGTTTCCAAACCGCCAGGAAGGTGTTTCCACGCTGGATGTGGGATCCTGGACACGGGCACCCCAAGCTGCTCCTCCCTCCAGGGCTTGCGGGGAGGTGCCAGGCTCTCCCTGGCTGGAGAGGGACCTGGGGGCTGCCACAGCGGTGCGACGGGTGCCGGAACCCACCAGAGGCAGCCGCCTTAGCGGGGTCTTCACACAAGTGGCTGAGGAGGCTGGGGGGCTTCGTGACTGCTGCCCTCCCGCCCCCGGCCCAGGCCCCAGGGGTGAGGGGACACACGGGACATCCCAAAGGCAGTTTGAGTTGAGCTCAACAGCCAGGGTGAACATGCTCTTTGCAGGCCACAGAGCAGGATGAGGGTGGGGACGCCCAACCCCAGCACAGCTGACCCGAGGCCCAGCGACACCGGCAGTGCCCCGCCGAGAACTTGAGACAGATCTAGGAGGCAGTGCCGTGTGCGCCCCCTTCTGGTCACGGAGAAGTAGGTGAGCGGGTAGGAAAGGCAGGGCTCCCCCTGCAGGTGCAGCCAATCACGGCATGACTTGAAGGGAAACCAGGGAGCCGACAAGTCCCTGCCGAAGCTGCTCCGTGGGGACGCCAAGGCACAGGCAGCCTGGCCAGGGTTACTGCAACAGAAAGGTGCTGTTTTTTTTATAATTTAGTTATTTTATTTATTTATTTTTTTTGATAGAGTGGACAGTGAGAGAGACAGAGAGAAAGGTCTTCCTTCCGTTGGTTCACCCCCCAAATGGCGGCTATGGCTGGCGCACCGCGCTGATCCGAAGGCAGGAGCCAGGTGCTTCTCCTGGTCTCCCATGGGGAGCACTTGGGCCATCCTCCACTGCACTCCCGGGCCACAGCAGAGAGCTGGCCTGGAAGAGGGGCAACCGGGACAGAATCCGGCACCCTGACCGGGACTAGAACCCGGGGTGCCGGCGCCGCAGGTGGAGGATTAGCCTAGTGAGCTGTGGCGCCGGCCTTAATTTACTTTATTGTTGTCAATCTCCTAGAATTGTTATGAGGATGAAGTGAACTGATCGTTGTAAGGTATGTAGAAGACCTCCTGACACATAATGAGAGCTCTACCATATTCTTTTATAAAAAGCATTTTAGGGACCAGCGCTGTGGCGCAGCAGGTTAACACCCTGGCCTGCAGCGCTGGCATATGGGCGCTGGTTTGAGATCTGGCTGCTCCACTTCCCATCCAGCTCTGCTGTGGCCTGGGAAAGAAGTAGAAGATGGCCCAAGTCCTTGGGCCCCTGCACCCGTGTGGGAGACCCGGACGAAGCTCCTGGCTCCTGGCTTCAGATTGGCATAGCTCCAGCCATTACGGCCAATGGGGAGTGAACCAGCAGATGGAAGACCTCTCTCTCCCTTCCTGCCTGTCCTCTCTGTGTAATTATTTCAAATAAATAAATAAATCTTTAAAAAAAAGCATCTTAGTTCAGAATAATTTTAAATTTACAAAACAAGAATTATGAAAGGGGCTGTTTTTAAATCAGCAACAGGGGCTGGCCCAGTGACGTGAGCATCCCTTGTGGGCGCCAGTTCATGTCCCGGCTGCTCCGCTTCTGAGCCATCTCCCCACTAACGCACCTGGGAAAGCAGCAGCAGATGGCTCAAGTGCTCGGACCACTGCACCCACGTGGCAGACCCAGCTGGAGTTCCAGGCTGCTGGCTTTGGCCTGGCCCAGCCTGACCATTGTGGGCATTTAGAGAGTCATCCAGTGGATGGAAAATCTGTCTCTAACTCTGCCTTTCAAATAAATAAATAATAAATATTTTTAATTTATTTTTTATAAAGATTTATTTATTTATTTGAAAGTCAGAGTTACAGAGAGAGCGAGGTCTTCCATCCGCTGGTTCACTCCCCAATTGGCTGCAACGGCCTGAGCTGAGCTGATCCAAAGCTAGGAGCCAGGAGCTTCTTCCAGGTCTCCCACACGGGTGCACGGGCCCAAGGGCTTGGGCCGTCTTCTACTGCTTTCTCGGGCCACAGCAGAGAGCTGGATCAAAAGTGGAGCAGCCAGGTCTCAAACCGGCGCCAATATGGGATGCTGGCGCTTCAGGCCAGGGCGTTAACCCATTGTACCACAGCCTCGGCCCCAATATAAATATTTTTTTTCTTTTCTTTTCTTTTTTTTTTACAGGCAGAGTGGACAGTGAGAGAGAGAAAGGTCTTCCTTCCATTGGTTCACCCCCCAAATGGCGGCTATGGCTAGTGTGCTGTGCAGATCCAAAGCCAGGAGCCAGGTACTTCTCCTGGTCTCCCATGGGGTGCAGGGCCCCAGCACCTGGGCCATCCTCCACTGCACTCCCGGGCCACAGCAGAGAACTGGCCTGGAAGAGGGGCAACTGGGACAGAATCTGGTGCCCCGACCGGGACTAGAACCCGGTGTGCCAGTGCCGCAGGCAGAGGATTAGCCTAGTGAGCCGCGGCGCCGGCCATAAATATTTTTTTAAAAAAGCAGCAGCGCAAAGAAAGTGCAGGGTCATAGTAACTGTGTGTCTGCAAATGTGCATGTGTGTGTAGGTGTGTGTGTATCCATGTGCATGCACATCCGTGCGTGTGTGTGCCTTAGGAAATGGGTGCAGGGGCCCGAAACAGCTCAGTGATGAAAAACAAGCATTTTTGCTTGAAAACGGATCACAGCAAAGCCTGAAGAGGAATGGGGAAGTACTTCCCAGTCACGCTCTGCACCACCGGGGCCTCTTCCTTTGGAGCACTCCTCACGGTGCATATGTTTACTGAGACACAAAACGATATCAAATACAGAGAATCCAAGGGTGCAGCCTGAAATCTCTACCTGTGTGTCTTCACCATTACGACGCCCAATGCGGAGGACGTCTGTAGCACTGGTGTCTGTGCACACGCGCTATGCACGCACAGGCCCGGCCCCACAAGAGGCCGTGGCTCCAGCTGAGCCTACGCGCGTCTACATCCCAGGGCGAAGCTCACTGCCGGTGGTGGCCTGCAGGCACTGCAGGAGCAGGGTGGTCTCCCCGTGAGCCCCAGGCCCCGTGCACACTGCCTGAGGAAAGCGGCTGCCTGCAGGCTGCACCTGGCTGGTAGCACTCAGAGTTCTTGCTGGAGGGCTGGTCTTTGGGGTTGTTTTGGAGAAGGCCCAGTGGACAAGAACTGAGAGCCAGTTGCCAGAGGAGGAAGGGCCTAGAGCCTGAAGGAAAGCAGGCAGGCCCAGCTCTGCCCGGGGTCGTTTACTGGGGGTCTTGCACACAGACCCAGCGCTGCCCGGGGTCGTTTACTGGGGGTCTTGCACACAGACCCAGCGCTGCCCGGGGGTGTTTACTGGGGGTCTTGCACGCAGACCCAGTGCTGCCCGGGGGTGTTTGCTGGGGGTCTTGCACGCAGGCAGTCCCAGCACTGCCCGGGGGTGTTTACTGGAGGTCTTGCACGCAGACCCAGCGCTGCCCGGGGGTGTTTACTGGGGGTCTTGCACGCAGACCCAGTGCTGCCCGGGGTTGTTTTTCAGGGGTCTTGCATGCAGGCCCAGCGCTGCACAGGGCTGTTTACTGGGGGTCTTGCAGACAGAAGCGTCCTCTGGGGCACCTGCCACAAGGCAGGAAAACAGACGTTCACAAAGGTGGCCTGTGGCCAACCACAGCACACCTGGGCTTACTCTACCTCGAGACATTGGGGCATCAGGTAAGAAGGTTGGGTAGAGCGAAAAGTTAGGTTAAGGACTTCATTTGCCAGTCACAGGACTCAGGCTGACCTCCAGGGGCACCTGGAGGGCAAGACAGCCATCGTACCGAAGACGGCAGTCCCGTCCACGTCCAGGCCGGCTGTGGTTCCGTGAAGCTGAACCCCTACAGCGATACACAGACCCTGCGTGTGCCTCAGGTCCTTCCTGTCCTCACCCTACACCAAGACGCACCTGGGGCCACCCCTCCACTCAGCTCTGACCCCGAGAGCTGTGAGGAACCTGGAGGGGTCTGGGCACTGACAGCAAGGCTCACGCAGGCACATCCACGTCGCCCCCGGCAAGGCAGGCGGTGGAGGCCACGGGCAGCGCTTCGGCAGGCAGACAGCTGGGGACCCTGGCTTAGCAGCTGCAAGACCACCAGTCAGGGCCAATGACTGCTCCAAACCTTCTGACTTGTGCTCACTCCTGGCCCCACCCCAGGACAACTGGCTCAAGCCGGTCACTCACTCCTGCCCATCACTGAGAGAAGCGGTCCATGAGTAAGGCAGGGGCAGCTGTTTGCTTGCCGTGTGGATGTCGTCCAGACAGGGTGCCTGGCCTCAGCTCAGGCGGCTGGACAGAGGTGGCGGTCAGCAGGTGCCCTCCCCAGGGGAAGCCAGAGCCAAGGCAGCACAGCAGGGCACCCAGACACTCTGGGCATAGAGGGGAGTCTGGGGATGTGCAAGGACATCATTTTGCTGGGTGAGAAATGGCAAGTCCTGGGTCAAAGGTGAATCCACGAGACAGGAGGAACGTACTGCCCAATGCAGGCTCAGGGAAGGGTGGAGGCGGCCCTAAAAGGCTCCTGGGAGTGGCTGCTGTGCCTCCAGCCCCCCCCCCCCCAGGAATGTGCCTTCCTTCAGGCAGGTGTGAGAGGAACCCCTGCTCCAGGTCTCCCGCCCACAGGAATACCCCTGCAGAACCCCCGTCAGGGCGCTGTGTCTTTGTGCCCTTCCAACCCCTGGGCCCTCCCGCCTCCCACCCCACCCCACCCCATTCCTGGTGCCCAAGGTCCTGCTCCCTCGAGTGGATGTGTGCAGGGGGCTCCGACACACCGATCACAAGGTGGCGGACAGCTGCGGGGTTTTCCAGCTGAGGGAGCCTAACTACCCCTGTAGCTCTCTGCGCCTCCCAGAGTTCCTACACAGAGCGCATCCATGGCGACACCTCCAAGTCTCAGCTGTGTTATTTCATCTGTAGGAACAAACGCCCACACAGAGCTGTCCCTTCCCCCTCACCTGCCCGGGCCGGGCCAGGGGACCTGGGCTGGCCTCAAAGGGTCCCCCATGTGGACTTGGCCAGTGCCCTCAGGGCTGGGAGTCGGGGCAGTGGCAGCACACAGGGCGGGGGGTGCAGCTGGGTTGGCAGCAGATCTGCAGAGTGGGGTCTTCACCCCGGGCCATCTGGCTGGTGCCAAAGGTCATGGACGCATCAAACTCAGCCTTGAGCAGCTGGAGATGCTTCATGGCCTGCAGTGCCTCTGCCGGGACCTCGGCCACGCCCTCCAGGAGGTTGTAGTTCTCACCGGGGTCCTCCGACAGGTCGTAGAGCAGTGGTGGCTCATGGGCGGTCAGAGGGCTGGAGGCGTGGCAGGCAGCGTCTGCGGTGGTGTCGCTGTGTGGGGAGCCTGGGGAGAGGGCGGATTCTGTGTGCAGCTCAAGGGCAATGGAGCTGGGGGCCGGGGGGCTGGGGAGAGGGACCAGGGAGAAGTTACCCTGGGTGAAGAAGTGAGCCTTGTACTTCCCACTCCGAACGGCAAAGACTCCGCGCACTTCATCGGGGAAGGCCGAGTAGAAGAAGAGGGAGTTCCGAGGGCTCTGCGGGCACAGTCAAGCCGAGGAGTGGCGAGGGGCCCCGGGCACTGCCCACCCAGAACCGCTGGTCCTGTGCAGGCCCTGGTTGTGCACTTCCCAAACCTGGGTGGGGACAGCACTCAGCGTCGCTCAGCCACGGAGACCTGACGCAGACTCGCAGGCGTCGCCCAAGGGCGCTGAGCAGCTGGAAACAGGGGTCACTGGCTCTACCTTGCCTGTGCCCAGCAGCAGGGGACTGAGGTCAAAGCCATCCAAGGTGACGTTGGGCAGCGGGGCCCCAGCCAGGGATGCCAGCGTGGGCAGCAGGTCCAGGGAGCTGGCCAGCTCGTGGGTCACACCTGGTGCAGAGGAATGGCCAGTTACCCTGTTTTTTATCAAGGCTGGGGAGGCGGGGCCTGGAGTCCACAAGGAGAGAGCTGGAGGACTGACCAGGAGTGATGCGGCCTGGCCAGAAGGCCAAGGCAGGCTCCCGGACGCCTCCCTCGAAGGTCGTGCCCTTCCCGCAGCGCAGGAGGCCAGAGCAGCCGCCGCGGGACATACGCATGGTTTCAGGCCTGGGACACAAAAGGAGGTGGTCAGCGGTGAGGCACCCAGGGCCTCTGACCCTCACTTCTGAGTTCCAACCTTGCCCAGAAATGACCAGAACGTGCCATGGCTCCCCTCAGCTGACCTACCAACACCAGTACCTCTGTGTACCCGTGGCCCCCATGTCCCTGACCACATCTCTGGGTCACTGTCCCTGCCAGTGTGTCCTGAGACCCTAACCCACCACCAAAGAACCCAGACCCTGGCCCCAGCATACCCATTGTCTGCAGTGAAGATGACCAGTGTCTCTCCGAGCAGCCCCAGGTCCCCCACGGCCGTCATCAGGGCCCCCACGGCTGCATCCAGCTCCATCAGGGAGTCCCCAAAGGGCCCACGGCCTGAGTGGCCTGCAAAGCTGTGCCCACTAAACTGGGGGTAGTGGGTGTGCTGGGGGCAGAGACTGGAGTTAGCATTGAGTAGGGGTCACGGGCAGCCAGGAGGGCAGGGCCAGGGTCACTCACGTGGGAAGCGTAGTACAGGAAGAACGGACGGCCCTGGCGCTGGGCGTCGGCCATGAGGTCGCGGGCGAAAGCCACATAGCGGGCTTCCAGTCCAGGCAGCCAGGGGGGCTGTGCCTCCACAGACAGGTTGGCCAACAGTGGGATGGGAACCAGGCCCTGGTCACAGCCACCATCACAGGGAGTGGCTGGTGGGAAGCAGGTCAGGTTCTGGCAGGGGCCCTGGGGGAGAGAGGTCCAGTGAGGGCCCTGGTGGCTCCCTACCTGGTCATGGGTGTAGGGAGAGGGGGCAGGGAGGGCTCCCTACCTGGTCATGGGAGTAGGGACAGGGGGCAGGGAGGGCTCCCTACCTGGTCATGGGTGTAGGGAGAGGTCCAGGGAGGGCCCTGGTGGCTCCCTACCTGGCCATGGGTGTAGGAAGAGGGGGCAGGGAGGGCCCTGGTGGCTCCCTACCTGGCCATGGGAGTAGGGAGAGGGGGCAGGGAGGGCTCCCTACCTGGTCATGGGAGTAGGGGATGCCCAGGAAGCGGTGAAAGCCCTGATGGGGGGGCAGGAAGGCCCCCTCCGGCCCCACCCCAAGGTGCCATTTGCCGGCCATCCCTGTGAGGTAGCCTCGAGCAGACAGGACTTCAGCCAACGTCACCTCCTCCAGGGGCAGGCCGCCCCGGGAGCTGGGCTCCAGGACTCCAGGGTACATGCCCATCCGGACTGGGAGCCGGCCGGTCAGGAGCGCAGCCCTGCAGCACAGGTGAGCTCCGTGAGATAGACTGAGGCAGGCCCCTCCCGCGAAGGCCCTCTTCCTCCCCACCCGCACCAGGGAGCGAATCCGGCAAGAAGCAGACCGGCGGGCGTGGGCCCTGCTCACCGGGAGGGTGTGCACAGAGACACAGGGACGTAGAAGTCTGTGAACCGCAGCCCCCCTGTGGCCAGCTGGTCCAGGTTGGGGGTGGTGGAGCTGGGGTGTCCGTAGGAGCCCAGGTCCCCATAGCCCAGGTCATCAGCAAAGATCAGCACAATGTTAGGGGGGCTGGCAGAGGCCAGGCCCGCAGCCAAGGCCAGAGTGAGAGTCCACAGTGCTCGCATGGCGCGGGACAGGTGGGCTTGTCTGCAGAGACGCCTGGCAGGGAAGACAAGGCTGGTCCGTCGGGCTCTTCCCTAGACCCCGGGGCCCAGGCCCACCCTCCCCTGGACCTCAGACCGCCGTCCAGGAGCTCCAGCGGACCCGACAGAACCCCGGACACCGTGGCCGGGAGGTAACGCCCCCGGGCCCTCAAGGACCGGGACGCCTTCGGATTCCGCGCGGACACCCGACTCTCCTCGCCGACAGGCCCCGGCCCGGCCTCAGCGGCAGAAGTCACATGACAGGGCCCGGCGGAACCGAGCCGAGCAGCGCAGGGTCTCCGACCGCGGCCGCGGCGCCCGCGCTGCGCTTCCGCCTCCGCGCGCCCCGCCCCTCCTCGCCGGCCCCGCCCCTTGACCCCGTGACCCCGCGGCTGGGGCCCCGGGGCTGAGGCGGCTGGGGCGGCGGGGCGCAGCGCAGGGGCCGGAGCCGGGTCAGGCCGGGCGAGGAGGGGCCGGAGCGGGACTCAAGACTCGTCCTGCGCCGACGTGAGGCGGAAGCGGACGGCGGGCGTGGGCGGCGTGCGGAGCGCGAAAGCCCGTGGGCCCCGCCGGCGCCCCGAGGCCGTTGGCGACCGCGCGCGCGGGGCGGGGCCTGGGCGGTGGGGACGGCGCGAGGGGGCGGGGCGACGGGGGCGGGGGCGAGCCGGAGGCGGGGGCGCGAGGGGGCGGTGCGCGGCGCGCAGGGGGCGGGGCCTGGTTGGTGGGGACGGCGCGAGGGGCGGGGCGACGTGGGGGCGGGGCGCGGCGCGGCGCGCAGGGGCCTGGGCGGTGGGGACGGCGCGAGGGGGCGGGGCGAGCCGGAGGCGGGGCCGAGAGGGGCGGGGCCTGGGCGGTGGGGACGGCGCGAGGGGGTAAGGGGGCGCGGCCGGAGGCGGGGCGCAGCGCGGCGCGGGAGGCGGGGCCTGAGGAGGGCGCGGCGCGGCGCGGGAGGCGGGCCCCGGGCTCCGGAGAGCTGCCCCGCGCTGCTGCCCCCGCCTCGGCGCTTGGTTCCCTGCGTGAGTGGCGCGTCCCCGGGCCTGAGCTCCCCGGGGAGGGGCGGCTTGTGCGCCCCCAGGCTTCCGGCGCTGGGAGATTTGCGGGGCCCTTCTTTAAAAGACCCGGATGTTGGCAGTGTCGCGGGCACCCCGTGAGTGGGCAAATCGGAAGGGTTCGCAATGGACAGCGGCTTTGCCTGCACCTTACCTCGGGCGCCTTTCTTCCGACCCCTTTCCCCCGTATCGGGGGTGTGGGCTGTGACACGTGTGTGTCTGGTGTGGCGTGGTGTGAGGTGTGAGGCGTGTGTGATGTGAGGCACGTGAAGTGTGTGTGTGGTGTGAGACGAGTGTGTTTGTGCAGGTTTGTGGTATGTGAGGTGTGAAGTGTGTGTGAGATGTGTGGTGTGTGAGGTGTGTCTGGTGTGAGGCACGTGAAGTGTGTGTGGTGTGTGAGACATGTGGTTGTGTGTATGGTGTGAGGCGTGTGTGTTTGTGGTGGTTGAGGTGTGGCCAGTGTGAGGTGTGCTTGTGGTGAGGTGTGTGGTTGTGTGTGAGGTGTGTTTGGTGTGTGTTGTGTGCGGTGTGAAATGTGTCTTGTCTGAAGTGTGTGAGGCGTGTGGTGTGTCAGGTATGTGGTGTGTGAGGTGTGTGGTGTGTGAGGTGTGTGTAAGGTTTGGTGTGAAATGTATCTTGTCTGAGGTGGGTGTGGTGTGAGTGTGAGGCTGTGGTGTGTGTTTGTGGTTTGTGTGTGGCGTGTGAGCTGTGTGCTGTGACGCGTGTGTGCAATGATGGAGTGTGTGTGTGTGTGTGTGGTGTGTGAGGCGTGTGCTGTGAGGTGTGTCTGGTTTGTGTGCTGTGGTTTCTGACTGGTGTGTGTGTGTGATGTCTAGTGTGAGACGTGTGTTCTGTGATGTCGCGTGTGATTATGGAGTGTGTGTGTGTGGTGTGTGAGGTGTGTGCTGTGAGGCGTGTGTGTGATTATGGAGTGTGTGTGTGTGTGTGTGGTGTGTGAGGCGTGTGCTGTGAGGTGTGTATGTGATTATGGAGTGTGTGTGTGTTTCCGGCCTGGGTCTGGTCAGCCTCTGGGATACACGAGTCGGGAAGCCTCCGGCTAAGACTCGCCTGGTTCCTAGGCTGTCATTCTGACGCCTGGTACCTCGACCACAAGCAGTGCACTTGCCACGGAGGCGGGCTGTGCGGGTGTTTTACTCAGTGCGCGTGCGTGCACACACACACACACACACACACACCACCGCCGCCATGTGACCCTCTTCAGGAGCTCGTGTTGGGCAGCTCTCTGGCCGTGGCACCCCCTGCACGCTTTGGGCACCTGTCTGGGAGCTCTGACCTCAGGAAGAGCAGGACCTGGGTGCCTGGGTGGGGCGAGTTTCCCCTGCGCACTGACCCTGGCACAGAGTTCGCACCGAGGCCCAGCTTGGCTGGAGAGCTGGCATCTCCCGATGAACCTTGAAAGCCCCGAGGTCAGGGCTGGGGCGGCAGGGATTCCCGACGATGGGACGGGGGAAGGGCTGGGCCCACCTGGCCTCACGGGAGCAGGAGGGAGCAGTCTCCCTGCAGCTTGTCACATTCCAGCCTCCTTTCTGGCCCGTGTGCCGTTGTGCTTCCAGTCCTGAGCCAGGACAGACGCTTCTTTGTGGCCCAGAAATCTTTGAACCTGTAATTGGAGCTATCACAGCTGGTCGGCGCTGTGAGTTGGAGTTTAAAAGCAACCGACCTAAAGCGCGTTCTTCTCTTTGAACAGCAGGCTGGGAAGTACCCCGGGACCTGCCTGTTATTCTGGGGAAGAGCCTGCGTGTGGTGGCAATGTCTTGCACAATGGTGGCACTTTCTCCCAGGGATCTGGGGGCCGCTCAGGTGTGTGCACACGTGCCATCTGACCTCGGGCTGGAGGAGGGGATGTGGTGCCGGCAGCTATGTTTGTTCAAAGCCAGGCTCTGCAGGCTGCCCTGGTCTTTTGGAGATGTGAGTTCTTTTTCTGCATTGACGGAGCCTCAATTGGAGGCAGCCTGCTGGGGTTCAGGAAGCGGCTGTGGACACCTAGGGCACTGCTAATTTGGGACTGACGCCCACAGTTAGGGGAGCGGCCTTGCAGTGAGCAGTGGGTCTTGTCTTTTTGTACCTTGGATAAGGGATGGGAAAGGCCTCTGTGTGTGGAGTTGGTGGGGGAGCGACGGGAATGCAGCTGTATCCGTGGGAACAGACACTTGGCCTGGATGAAGGAATTCTACAGCTCTTGAGGCGGGCTGAGTGTCCAGGGACATTGAGGACACCTGAGGACCCTGACCCCCACCTCCCCCATCCCTGTCCACCAGCTCCATCCTCCCCGCTGACAGTCATCACCTTCCTGCTGCCCCCACCCCTCCCCAGGCTGCGTTTTTCTCAGCCACCTTGAGGCCCTATGGTTTTCCCCGGTTCCAGAGGGCTGGTCCCGGCTGAGTGGTGCAAGCCTCTTCCAAGGGGGTGTCAGTACTGACTGAAGCTTCTCAGGCCGCCTGTTGGGGTGCAGGGGAAGGCTGGGGGGTTCCCAGGAAGGAGGGTGGGGTTCTGAGCGTGTGCGAGCCGCGCTGCCTCTCCGGCTGCTGGGTGGCACCAAAGATTCTGTGCTTGACCACACTGCAGTCAGGCTCCTGAACCTTCTGGGCCCGTCTGGCACATACTTGTAAAATCCAGGCCTAGCAAGGGCCCTGCTTAGCTTAGCACAAATTTCTGAACCCCCCTCCTTGATCTCCAAATCTGGGGCCTGCATATCTGGACAGGTTCCTCGTCCTCCATCCCCTCGAGAATTTCTCTCCAGCAAGAATCCTGTTGGGTGGGATTGGCTAACATCCCCCTAGCACCTGATGTCTCTTAGTAGTGTTCCATTTCCTGACCCCAACCCATTCCTTGGCTGTAAATGCCTGCTTGCCTGTCTGTGCTGCACCCAGAGCTGGGTCCAGTCTCTGTCCCCTGCTGCAGTCTTTCTCCAGTGGTCGCTACACCTACTGTGGTCCTGATGAAGCTGCCTTGCACCGGGTGACCCACAACACTGTCCCTTAGCCCTCTATCCCTGCCGACTGTAGCCCAGCAAGCATCCTGCAGCCTCAGGCCTGGGGCCTTGCTGGTCCTCTCTGGAACTTGTCTGGCTCCCGAGGTCCACTGCAGTGTCAGGTTCTCTGTGAGGCCTTCCCTGGCCCCAAACTCTTCGCCCGCCTCCTCTACCCAGGTGTGAGTGGCTTCTCTTTACTCCCAGGTGGGCTGAGTTGGGCAAGTTGCCGTTGCCCTCTCCAGGCCTTGATTTGCCACCTGTAAATGGGGTACAATAGTACCCACTCTGGTGTGTTGGCGGAAGGCACGGATCAGTTAACATAGGCAAGACGCTTTGCTAGGGCTGGCCTATGGAAGTCTGTGTTCTGACTTGTCGTCACACAGCTGCTGGTGTTGTGTAGAGCTGGGTGGAGCCACGAGAACTCCAGACAGGGTGAGTCTTCAACACAAGGGGAGCCTTGTGGAGATGATCTGGTTGGCAAGATGAGAGGCCTGTGTGGCACCGCGAGGCATCACACGCCAGGGAGGCCGTGAGAGAACCTTCAAGTCCACTCAGGGACGGGATGAGCCACTATCCGACTAGACGTGGAAACAACCTCTGATTATGGATAACTTGATCCCCTGGATGACAGTCAGCTGCGCAGGTGACCAGGTCCCATCATCCCCAGCCCTTACTGTCATCATATTTCATAAAATTATAGAAAATTGCTTACGCGTTTTACCAGAAACATTACTTTCTTCCCAGGAGGAACTTCTACCCAGGCTGGTCCTTTCCCAGTGTTTCCAAGGGATCAGAGAGAGCTTAGGAGGAGCAGGTTGGCCCCCAAGTGACCAGGACAGCGATCCCGGGTCTGGCATCCATGGCAGCCAGGAGCTCCAGGGCAGGTGTGCCGTTGGCCATGGTGGGTAGGTAGGCATTCAAACGACCTGTGACTGCTGTAAAGTTTACTGTCTGTGGGGGAAGTGGTCATCTCTCCATTTGATTACTGTTTACAGCCCTCGTCTGTATTTTCACTACACCGCAGCCAGGCCCAAGGGCTTGGGCAGTGCAAGCACTGTGAGATGGACCCGTGACTAGGTCATTGTCCAGTCTTCCAGAGCAGGGTGGGGCAGTTCGAAGTGCACTCGGGAAGAGAAGACTTAGATACCAAAGGAACTGCATCCTTTTGCAGATTTTGTTGAGCAGAATTCCGAGGAAGGAATGTTGGGGGAGGATGGTTCTAAATCAAGAGAAACCGATGCAGTGGCTGGAGGTCAGGGTTGGCAGGGCCGGTGGAACGCCTGGCTATCTGCACTCTAGTCTTTCACCAGGTTAGAGTAGGCACTTGGCCTAGCAATTTGAGTGCCCACACCCTATCTCAGGGTACTGGGTTCCACACCGGCTTCAACTCCTGACTCCAGCTTTGTGCCAGTGCAGACTTTGGGAGGCACGGAGATGGCTCAAGTGATTGGGTTCCTGTCACGTGTGGGAGGCCTGGACTGGGCTCCTGGCCCCGCTTGTTGTGGGCATTTGGGGAGTGGACCAGCAGATGTGTGCTCTGTCTCTCTTTGCCTCACAAATAAATAAAATTTAAAACAAACACCAGCAGGACTGGCACTGTGGCATAGTAGGTTAAGCCTCTGCCTGCAGTGCCGGCATCCCATATGGGCGCCAATATGTGTCCTGGCTGCTCCTCTTCCAATGCAGCTCCCTGATAATGGTTTGGGAAAGCAGTGGAAGATGGCCCAAGTGCTTGGGTCCTGCACCCACGTGGGAGACCCTGAGGAAGTTCCTGGTTCCTGGCTTCGGATTGGCGCAGCTTCGGCCATTGCAGCTATTTGGGGAGTGAACCAGCGGATGGAAGACCTCTCTCTGTCTCTCCTTCTCTCTGTAACTCTGCCTCTCAAATAAAAAGTAAATCTTTATAAAAATATATTATTTCAAAAACTAAAGAAAGAAACAGGGAGGGAGAGAAGAAGGGAATGTCATTATATATTTAGAATTGTATTTATGACCTATATTGAATCTGTCAAAAACTAAAAACAAATAAATAACTAAAGCAGAATAAAGGGGCCGGCACTGTGGCACAGTAGGTTAATCCTCCGCCTTCAGCGCCAGAATCCCATGTGGGCACTGGTTTGATTCCGGCTGCTCCACTTCCGATCCTCTCTCTGCTGTGGCCTGGGAAAGCAGTGGAAGATGGCCCAAGTCCTTGGGCCCCTGCACCCGCGTGGGAGACCTGGAAGAAGCTTCTGGCTCCTGGCTTTGGATCAGCGCAGCCCTGGTCATTGTGGCCATTTGGGGAGTGAACCAGTGGAAGGGAGACCTTTCTCTCTGTCTCTCCCTTTCACTGTCTGTAACTCTACCTCTCAAATAAATAAATAAAATGTTTAAAAAAATAAAAAAGAAAACCAGGTTTCAATAGGCTATGGGAACAAAGGTGACATATGAGAAATTCCTTGATCTAACCAAGAAAAGGCATCCAGAGACTGGAGGAGCTAGGACGGCATCGTGCGTCACCGGGAGGCCCTGCCTCACCAGGAATTGAGGGCTGTGCCGTGCGACGGGAGAGGAGCAGGAGCACCCACAAGCAGCTAGGGACGCTGGATGCAGGGGCCAAGACATCCTGGGGTGGCAGAAGCCACGTGGCCAACCAGGCAGGCGAGGCCCCTGTGGTGGGCAAGCAGAGTTGTCACCTTCAGAGACCACTGGCCGTGGGGCCAACTTCCAGGACAGAAGCAGAGGGCAGCATGGAAGTGAGGGTGTGGGTGGTGGAGAAACCCTGGTCTCAGGAATATGCCTGGCCTGGGTCACAGGGCAGGGGAGCCGAAGTTCCCTTTGCAATTCCTGGATGTGAGTCACTGCCAGACCCGGAGCCTTCTGCTGGACGGACAGGCCTGGTGGGAACACCCAAGGCTGAGCTAAGTCTTCCCAGCCTCCCCAGAGGAAGGTGTGCCTGTCAGCCAGGACGATGCCGCTGCAGGCTCCCAGGGACTCGGCTGACTTTGCTGCCCCACTGTCCACAGGGCAGAGGCGGCTTGGGAGGGCAGATGGACTGCACTTTGGGCTGCGGTCCATCTCACAGTGGACACACTGGTATGTGAATCCACTCTGGTGTGTTTCCCAGCCGGCATCTGGCTGGGGCAAGGACTCTCAGAGTGGGAGCGGCCTCCCTAAATCGGTTGAGGAAACACCTCCTACTCTGACAGAGCAAACCCTAAATAAACCTAATCAAACCCTAAACTGGCTTAATAGAATGAATAGACATTTACTTTTGGCCCACAGAAAGTTCAGTTTGCAACCTGGGTGGGTGTGGGAGGCTCTCTGTTCTATTTAGTCATTCAGGGTCCCATTTTTGATATCTGGGTTTAAGGCTGTCCCGGAGTTCACAGCAGCCAGCAGGAGGGAAAAGCGTGCACACGGAGGACTGGGCAGGTGTGGCTGTGGCTTACAAATGGGACACAGCCATCATTCCCACCCACGCTGATTCTAGAACTCAGCGATGTGACACTGCCTTGACCCCGAAGGGGCTGGGACACAGACTGGCCGAGGTGTGGTGTGTCAGGAGCCAGCAGCTGGGGCGTCTGCGTTCTCACCCTCAGCTGTCCGACCGGCAGACAGAGGGACTCGCCAGGGGCCGTCTGTGGGTGCTGTTTCAGGCAGATTGTATTTCTAGAAGCCAGGCCTCTTCTGTTTCGGTTTCCAACGGTGTTTTGGGCAGCATCTCCCTGTGTTCATTCCCTTTCTGCTCACTCTAGGTACACAGGAGCCTGTGCTCTCCACCTGGACCCGGGCTGTTACGGTCAGTGAGACAAGGACCTGAGGGGCCACGGGAAGAGACACAGGTGAAGTCAGGAACAGGGCTGCGCAGGCAGCTGGTGATCCCGACCGCCGGGGCGCTGTGCAGCGACGTGTAAATGAAGCATCTCCTGTCCATCTCTATATTCACTCATGCTCTGCCCAGCAAGCCATCATTAAAGTGCGCGCGCACACACACACACACACACGAGTACGAGTGCTCCGCTGAATAAGAAACAGGTTTCCAACAATCTCACATAAAACCCATTTATTACAAAGTGCTGGAAATGCTGATCAAAGCGTAACAAGCACTGTTGTATGCACAGCCGACCTTGAGAGAAAATGGATGTATGCTCAGAAACACTGAAGAGAAGACGGCCAGTCAGGTAAGAGCATGAAACCCGTGGGACTCTCCCTGCGAGGAACTTGAGCCTTGGGTTTAAGGCCGTGTGGTGGGCAAGAGGGAGGGGCCTGGGCCCACACCACAGACGTTGGAAGGGAGATTCTCACAGAGAAGCAGGGCTTTTGAAGACCCATGGTATCAATGAATGACTAGAAAGACTAGGAAGGGCAGGCACTGTGGTGCAGCGGGTTAACGCCCTGGCCTGAAGCGCTGTCATCCCCTGTGGGCACCGGTTCTAGTCCTGGCTGCTCCTCTTCAATCCAGCTCTCTGCTACGTCCTGGGACAGCAGTGGAAGATGGTCCAAGTCCTTGGGCCCCTGCACCCACGTGGGAAACCTGGAAGAAGCTCCTGGCTCCTGGCTTTGGATTGGCGCAGCTCTGGCCATTGTGGCCATCTGGGGAGTGAACCAGTGGATGGAAGACCTCTCTCCTCAATCTCTCTCTCTCTGTAACTCTGTCTTTCAAATAAATAAAATTAATCTAAAAAAAAAAAAGGACTAGGAAAAATATCTGCCTTCCAGGAAAGAGAAATGAAAGATTTTGTGGTGACCTCAACATCAGATGGAAACCCAGTCTGAGAATTTGTGAGTACAGAATTGGACTTAACTTCATGTGGTGCAAGGCTGAAATACAAGCTGCCTGGGCAGTTTGGGATGGAGTGGAAGTCACTGCAGGGTGACAGCCCTGGGCACTGGTGGGAGAAGGCACCAACCACCTGACTCCCAAGCCCCACGTGCAGGAGCCTGGAGCTCCATCTCGCCTCCCCTGTGGCAGACGGACCCAGATGCTTCAGCGGTCACCTGCTGCCTGCTTCAACAGGAAGCAGAATCAGGAGTGCAGCTGGGACTCAAACCCAGGCACTCTGATATGAGATGTGGGTATCCCGAATGGTGTCTGCACTGCTAGGCCAAATGCCTGCCTGTTATTTGTTTTATGGCAGGTGAAAATTGTATATATATATATCATATAGAAAAACATGTTCTTAGTTATATATACATTGTGGAATGGTTAAATAAAGCTATCTGGGGCCGGTGCTGTGGCGTAGTGGGTAAAGCCACTGCCTGCATTGCCAGCATCCCATATGGGCACCGATTCGAGTCCCGGCTGTTGTGGGGAGCAACTCGGACTAGACTGTTACTGGAATTAAGGCTTATTCTATGCATCTGCTCTCCCACAATATGGCGCTGGGAGAGGAGGAAATAGCTTCTACACAGCTGCCTCCAGTTCAACCAATAAACAGCAGGACCTGCTCCTGATTGGAGGAGAGCAGCGTACTCGGCGTGTGGGCAGCAGAGTTGGGATTGGCGGAAGAGGACTACAAAGGAGGAGAGAGACAACATGCACCAGGAACATCTATCTGAAGGAACACCTGTGCAGCCCCCGAGAGAGCCGGCCGGTGGTGTGCCGCTCCCCCGCGGAAGTGGGGAAAGTGGCAGGGGGAACCGCCCTTCCACGGAGGTGGAAGGGTTGGTAGCCAACCCGGGAAGAACCAGCAGAAACCCGGGAAGGGCCGAGCAGACGAAAGAACAGTGCAGGGTCCTGTGTTGTTCCTCCACGAAGAGGGGGAGCGACAGGCTGCTCCACTTCTGATCCAGCTGTCTGCTCTGGCCTGGGAAGGTAGTGGAAGATGGCCCAAGTGCTTGGGCCCTTGTACGTGTGTGGGAGACCCAGAGGAAGATCCTGGCTCCTGGCTTTGGATCAGCCCAGCTCTGGCTGTTGCGGCCATTTGGGGAGTGAATCAGCAGATGGAAGATCTCTCTCTGTCTCTGTGCCTCTGCCTCTCTGTAAACTCTGCCTTTCAAATAAACAAATAAATCTTTAGAGAGAGAGAGAGCGAGTAAGCGAGCAAGCTGGCTTAGCATTTAAAAAAAAATAAAGCTAATCAACAAATTGCATTATCTCATACATTAGTTTTTGTGGTGAGAATGCTTAAGATCTCTCTCAGCAATCATTCTTTTTAAAAATATTTATTTATTTATTTATTTGAAAGTCAGAGTTGGGGCTGTGGCTCACTTGGTTAATCCTCCACCTGTGGCGCTGGCATCCCATATGGGCACCAGTTCTAGTCCCGGCTGCTCTTCTTCCAGTCCAGCTCTCTGCTGTGGCCCGGGAAGGCAGTGGAGGATGGCTCTGGTGCTTGGGCCCTGCACCCAAATGGGAGACCAGGAGGAAGCACCTGGATCCTGGCTTCAGGTCGGCACAGTTCTGGTTGTAGTGGTCATTTGGGGGTGAACCAACGGAAGAAAGACCTTTCTCTCTCTCACTGTCTATAACTCTGTCAAATAAAAAAAAAGAAATGAAAGAGTTACACAGAGAGAGGAGAGACGGGGGGGGGGTGGTCTTCCATCTGATGGTCACGCCCAACTGGCCGCAATGGCTGGAGCTGCACCAGTCTGAAACAAGGAGCCAGGAGCTTCTTCCAGTCTCCCATGTGGGTGCAGGGGCCCAAGCACTTGGGCCACCTTCTACTGCTTTCCACCAGGCCATAGCAGAGAGCTGGATGGGAAGTGGAGCAGCAGGGACTAGAACCAGAGCCCATATGGGATGCCGGTGCTTCAGGCCAGGGTGTTAACCTGCTGCACCACAGCACTGGCCCCAGCAATCATTCTTGTCATTAACTGTGGCCACTGTGTCGTACAGCAGATCTCCCACACACACTGCTCCCTAAATGGAACGTGGTGGCTGGACCAGCATCCTGTGTGTCTCCCCTGGCCCTGCCCCTGGCAACCACGGATTCCTCTCTGCTTCTGTGAGATCAGTGGCATCTGCCTTTCTGTGCCAGACTTATTTCTCTTCACAGAGTCCTCCAGGCTCATTCATGTTGTTGCCAAGGCTGTGCATATATTCTCTCTTTTTCTTTCTTTTTTTTTTTTTGACAGGCAGAGTTAGACAGTGAGAGAGAGATGGAGAGATAGGTCTTCCTTCTGTTGGTTCACTCCCCAAATGGCCGCTATGGCTGGTGCGCTGCGGCCAGCACGCTGTGCCGGTCCGAACCCAGGAGCCAGGCACTTCCTCCTGGTCTTCCATGCAGGTGCAGGGTCCAAGCACTTGGGCCATCCTCTACTGCACTCCTGGGCCACAGCAGAGAGCTGGCCTGGAAGAGGGGCAACCGGGACAGAATCTGGCGCCCCGACCGGGACTAGAACCCGGGGTGCTGGCACTGCAGGCGGAGGATTAGCCAAGTGAGCCGCGGCGCCGGCCAATATTCCGTTTTTCTAATCCATTCATTCACAGATAGGTAGGTTGACTCCGTATCTTGGCTATTGTAAATAATAAATAATTGAAATTTCAATAGGCAGGTTGAGTAGCAGATTAGGCCCAGTGAAAGGGTGACTGAACTGGAAAATGCGTGTGAAGAAATACTCCAGGACACAGAACAGCCTAGGAGATGAGGACTTCTTACAAAAGGCAGAACAAGCAAGTTTAGTACATTTTAAAAATTATCATTTTTATAAGTTTTTTTAAAAAAAGATTTATTTATTTGAAAGGCAGGGTTACAGAGAGGCAGAGGTAGAGGCAGAGAGAATCTTCCATCTGATGGTTCACTCCACAGATGGCCGCAAAGGCCAGAGCTGTGCTGATCTGAAACTAGGAATCAGGAGCTTCTTCCAGGTCTCCCACGTGGGTGCAGGGTCCAAACACTTGGGCCACTTTCCACTGCTTTCCCAGGCCACAGCAAACTGGATTGGAAGTGGAGCAGCCGAGCCTTGACCCTACGCCCATACGGGATGCGGGCACTTCAGGCCGTGGCTTTATCTGCTATACCACAGCATCAGCCCCAAATTATCATCTTTTAAAAAGTTTCAATAATTATATTCACAACCTTTTCATCATCCCAAACGTCAGGTGCTCTCTGTCCTCCCTCTCCCCGCCCTGTAACCTCTGTGTGGTTTCCACCTTCATGACTCACCCACTCTAGATGCTTCATTCAAAATCATAGAAATCGTAGAATCTTTGTCTTTTGTGTCTGGCTTATTTCATTTCACATAATGTTTTCAGCATTCATCTGTAAAGCCTCAAATTTTTAAATAGGAGATGCCAAGGAAATAAAATATTCAAAAATATCAGAGAGTTCCCAGATTTCATCAAAGATAGAAATTCTCAGGTTCAGGAATCACAACAAATCTCAAACAGGGTTAGTAAAATTGAAACAATGTCTAGGAAAATCATGTAAAACGACAGGGTCTTAAAAGTCACCGAAAGAACGCATTGCCTACTGGGAGACTGACGACGAGACTGACAGCACTGGATGGGATGGCAGCGACAGGACAGCAGAATAAAGCCCGGGTGCAGTGCCAGTGCTGTGCTGCAGCGGGGGAAGCCACTACCCGCGACGCCGGCATCCCATATAGGCGCCAGTTCAAGTCCTGGCTGCTCTACTTCTGATCCAGCTCCCTGCTAATGCTCCTGGGAAAGCAGTAGAAGATGGCCCAAGTATTTGCGGCCCTGCACCCACGGGGGAGACCCGGAAGAAACTCCCAGCTCCTGGCTTCAGCCTTGTCCAGCTGCAGCCCTGGCCACGTGGCCATTTGGAGAGTAAACCAGTAAATAGAAGCTCTCTCTTAGTGTAGCTCTGCCTTTCAAATAAGGAAATAAATCTTTAAAGCATTAAAATATAATGAGTGCAAATAACTGTCCTGGGTTTATACTTCCAGGGTGACGTTTGCTGCTGCCTTCTGCCTTCTCCCTCGGTAACAGGGTCCTGATTCCGCAAGGGCTGAGCAGTCCCACAAGAAAGCACCGGATTCCCCGGCCCCACTGCAGCCAACGAGATGCACACCGCGTCGCGGGCGAGGTTCCGGGCAAGCTCCTCACGAACTCAGATGTGTGCTCGGATGACGGCTGCAGACGGGACTAAAGAGAACGGACACTGATCGCGAAGTCTACCAGATCCCTTCAGGGACACCACGCTGACCATTTCCCTACAACTGGGAGCCCACCAGGGACGCCTGCGCTCATCACTTCTACACAGCACCTTCTGTGGTTCCAGCCATTGTACATAGGCAAGAAAAAGAAATAAAGGAGGAAGTAAAACTGCCTCTGTTTGCTGATCTGGTTGTTTATGTAGGGTTCTTCCCCTCCCCCCACACTCTCACCCCTCCCTCTCCTGTTCCCATTCTTATTTACTAAGATCTGTTTTCAATTAACTTTATACACACATGATTAATTCTATACTAGGTAAAGAGTTTAACAAGTAGTATGAAACAAACCTGTTCAAAGTCGTTGCATCTCGAAGTGTCACCCTCAGTCCTGCAGGTGGCCTTGCTGGGCGTTACAGATCAGGGAGAACGTGGCGTTTGTTCTCTTGGAGCTGGCTTATTTCACTAAGTGTGATGTTTTCCAGTTTCATCCATTTTGTTGCAAATGACAGAATTTCATTTTTTAACCCCTGTGTAGTATTCCATGTAACACAACATTTTTAGGAATAAATTAAGCAAAAATGTACAAGTAATTTTTAAGATGAGATACCAATTCAATTCTGGTGAATTGTAGTTGGGTATGTAGATGATAAATACCACACAGGAGAGATTGGGTTCTCTAAGCATAAAACTGTTCTTGGTTTCAAGAGAATTAAAGAACAAAGAATAAAAAAAAAAGAAAAAATATACAAGTACTCTACATTGAAAACAATAAACCTCGCTGGGATAAATTAATGAAAACCACAATAAATAATAAATAGTAAATAATAAAAGAGGGGATATACCCTGTTGGTGTGTGGGTAAGTTTATTGCTACAATGTACATTCTCCGCAAGTATTTTTTTTTGTAAAAACTAATAAGCTGGAGCAGGCATTGTGGTATAGTGGGTAGGGCCACTGCTGCCTGCAGTGCCGGCATCCCGTGTGGGCACCAGTTTATGTCCCGGCTGCTCCACTTCCAGTCCAGCTCCCTGCTAATGGCCTGGAAGGCGGTGAAGATGGCACGTGGGCCCCTGCACCCATGTGGGAGACCTGGAAGAAGTTCCTGGCTTCCATCAGGCCCAGCCCTGGCTGTCGTAGCTATCTGTGGAGTGAACCAGCAGATGGAAGACCTGTGTGTGTGTGTGTGTGTGTGTGTCTCCCCTTCTCTCTGTGTAACTCTTTCAAAGAAATGAATAAATATTAATAAAAACTAAAGGGCTGATCATAAAATTTATACAAAAATGAAAATGATCTAGAATAGACAAGAGAATTCAAAAGGAATAAAGTAGTAGGAGTTACACTACCTAATTTCCAGACTTCTTCTTATAAAGTTACAGAAATTAAACAGTGGTATTAAAGAAAGCATGTAAATAAAGATCAAAGGGAGAGGAAGGAGAGAGGGTCCAGAAACAGAGGGCGCATTGTGAGCAGCCCATTTTCTACAAGGGTGCAGAGAAGTTCCGTGGGGCGGCAGTCTTTCCAGGAGAGGGCTGGCACTGGGCGCTGTGGTCACAACCCCGCTTGGGACGCCAGCGTGCGGCATCACAGGGCCTGGGCTGCAGCCCTGGCTCCACTTTGAGTTCCAGCTTTCTGCTGGTGCACATCCTGGGAGGCAGCGGGTGATGGCTCACGGAGGGGCTTCCTGCCACCCACGGGGGCCTCGACTGAGACCCCTGCTCTTGGCTGCAGTCCGGCCCAGCCCCGGTCGTTGTGGACACTGGGGAGTGAACCAGCCGTTGGGAGGCCTCTGTCTCTCTGCTTTTCACATGAGTAAAATTAAGTAACTAGGAACATTTCCACAT